TGCATCCTAGGTATCAGGAGGCATGGGAAAGAAGGCTGATTTTCTCTTTGTATGTGACCCTGGCCTGTGGGGATACATACTATTTTATCTTCAATGAATTCATGCTACTTTCAAGGTCTTTTTGCCTTCTTAATGGAAATATTCAATTTCCGTTTTTTCTCACTGAGAAAAAAATGCATCTAGTCTACTTTCCCTCTGTCCTCCCAACTCCCCATCCTACCTTCCCAAGTGAGCATGGCTCTCTGTGGCCACACACTCCTGCAAAGCTTTTTTGCTGCTTGGCTTTTATCTGAACAGATCTGAAATTGCTGCTCCTGTGGTTATCTCAAAATTAACTTTGTCATGGTTTAAAAAGAATCAAAATGCATTGTTGCATTAAGCTTTTTTAATAAAGGAAAATTATGGAAAGAAAATAGGCAACACCAGCAAATTATATGTGGACAAGTCCTAAACTATACATACATATATATAAAAAAAAATCATCTAGTTCTCACTATCATCTTATTAAAAGGAACAAAAACTTCTAAGGATCGCCACTTCTGAGAAGCTCTTGGAAATCTTTATGTCTAAGTGATTGTATTAGATCAGCAATAATGATTATGTAATCTCAAAAGACAAATAAAATATTCTTAAAATGGATTCTTGTCTTGAGAGTATTCCTTCTGTTAACTAGGAACTCAGAAATGAAGTCTCTGGGCAATGAGCTAGCAAGCCTGCTATAGGGCAAGGATGTGAAAAACCAAAGCAGTTACTACTGGTGTGTTAGAGTTAATTATACCTTGAAACCCTTATTCCATGCTGGGCCACTCCACTAATAGCTTCTCCTCTCTCCCACCACCACATCCTGGCTATGTTTGTAAAGAAGGTGCCTTGTCAGAACCACTACCCTGGGGAATTGAGGCTATAGTCTTATCAAGGTAGAGAAACTAAAGGATGGTTCTAGGTCCTTCAAGCCCTCTATGCCCTGCCTTTAACTAGAGAGTACAGAAAGTTAATATCCCCACAGTTTGGGACCAAAGGATCCAGATACTCAGGACGTAGTTACAACCAGCCAAAGGGAAGAGCAAAATGAATCATGGAGGATTTTTTTTGTTTTGTTTTTTTAAAAAGAGAGAACTTTTTAATATTTATTTTTTAGTTTTTTCGGTAGACACAACATCTTTATTTTTATGTGGTGCTGAGGATCAAACCCAGCACCACCGCGCATGCCAGGCAAGCGCATTACCGCTTGAGCCACATCCCCAGCCCATGGAGGTTTTATTCTAACTCAGGTAACCCTGGAGGATGAATCCATTCACCTGATTTTTCCCAACTACCAGGGTAGCCATCTCCTTTAATTGACAACCTAAACTAGTTCTATGTACTATATGCAAGGTGTTTTCCTCCCTATCAGAATCTTCTGCCTCTTTGATTTCCATTTATTTAAACTAAGGGCCATTGGGTTAAAATATTTGGGGCAGTTGGTAGTGGCTCAAAGCTTGTGCCATTCCAGTTAAGAGGAGAATGCTGCTAGCAGCTAGTAATGAGGCCTGTGAGTCAACTGGCAGGATTTGTTCCCTTCCAGCAGGGCTTGACACCTCCTTTGTGAAGAATGGAAACTTGGGTACTTGGGTCTTAGTTTCAGACTCACAGGGTCAGCCTGGCTGCCCACTGCTGTGCAAGTTTCTTTACCTCACAGAATTGTGGAGAGGAACTTGGACTTTGAATCAGATTAATTTGGGTTTGAATTCCAGCTCTGCCATTTACAGGTTTTGTAAGTTGGCCAAATAATAAACCCAATCAAAGCTCTAGTTTTCTTGCCTGTAAAATACATAATGCATATCTCTTAGGACAAAGATTTAATGACCTGTTGTGTAAAAAGTACTGCTTACGAAACCTGGCACATACTGCTTAGTGCATAAACATTAATTCCCTTTCTCATTTTAGGGCCCTACAGACTCTGTTGAATTATTACACCCACACATGCCCTTTCTGCAGAAAAGAGGGTGTTCTATCCTTTTTCTACTGTATTATCCTGGCTGCCTAATACCCTAAAAAACAAGGTACTTTAAATCACCCTGCATCTTATTTAAGACAATTTAAAGTTATCTCAATGCCAAGTGCTATCTACTTAATCAAGTATTTGACTCCATGGATTAGAGCGCTTAAATGGGAAGAAGGTATGTTTGATCCTTGTGACTAGTAACTATACCTAATCTATACCTCTAAACCTCTGACAGCAGCCTGAGTTTCAGTACAAGGGAAATTGGTAGTGTAGGGTTTGGGGGATTTTTTGTTGTTGTTCTTTTGGTATTAGGGATTGAATCCAAAGGTGCTTTACCACCAAGCTACATCCCCAGTCTATTTAAGGACAGGGTCTTACTAAATTGCTTAGGGCCTTAATAAATTGCTGAGGCTGGTCTTGGAACTTGTGATCGATCATCTTGACTCAGCTTCCCAAGTTGCCTGAATCACAGGCATGCACTACTGCACCCAGCTGGTAGTGTAGGTTTTAAAATAACCCAACACTGTGGCCATCCTTGCAATATGAAAAGACATGTAGACCAGACCTGACTAATTAGCTCCCAAGTATATTTGTGGGTGTCTTTGTGGTCAGTGGTATTGATGACTGTCATTCTTTCATTGAAATATAATCTAAAAGAAAATTTGTACGCCAATTCCGTGGCCAATAGTATCAAGTTTTCAGTTAATCTGTGGACTCTTGTTACTCCTTCCAGTTTTTTTCTGGATATTTTCCTATATATGACAAGTTCTGTCATATCTGTTCATTCTTTGCAATCTCCACAGCACCAATTTTTCAAATCCCTTCTTTGAAAGTAAAGCCAGGTGGAGCTCTAGGGTCAGGATAGGCCAGAGGAGATAGAAGGCCTATCCTCATTTCTGCTCCCAGTAGATTTCTTTGCCCTAGGGATAGGCAGGAAAATGAGCAAAGCCTCAAAACTGACCACTGGTAGAGATTTCTGCCTCTTGTGGGAATACTACTGATTTAGTAGGCTCTCAAAAGAATATAAAGTTCTGGGACTATCTGTCCTGGAGGTATGACTGCTTAGGAGAAATATTGGGAGAAAGAACAGTAGATAATGAATTATTTTTAGTAAGAAACTCAATGGGCTGTGCTGTGGCAGTTTTATCAAATTAAAGCAGTGATGAGCTAGGCGTGGGTTGTGAATTTTAATGCAGAGTATAAATTTTTAAGAGTTTAAAAATTATTCTCTGAAAAAATTTCAAAATCAAATAATTTAGGCCTTGAGCCAATGACTTTCTTGGAAATTCACATCAGCTCAATTCTGAAAACTAGGAGACCTCAATAGGCCATTTCACTACACAGGACATCTGCAATATCTAGAGGCAATTTTGGTTGTCACAGAGAATGCTACTGGCATCTACTGAGGGGAGGCCATGAATCCTACAATGCATGGGACAATCTCTCATAATATTTTTTTCAGCCCCAAATGTCAATAGGACAGAGGTGGTGAAATCCTGTGTTAAACCTACAGAAATGAAGTATACAAAAATTAATGAAACTTGGCCCTACTCACAAGAAGTTTATATTCACGTTGGGGCAGTCTTGGGAATGGGAGAGTAATGGGAAGATGGGTGAGGTCAGTAAGGAGATGTAGGGGATCATAGAAAGGAACCCAGAAATCTCCAAGTGGTGTTTTCACTTGCCTGCCGTGATCTGTCATCTACCAACTGGCAAAGGGAAGAATGAGGGAGAGAGATGGCAAGAAAGGGATGGAGGTATCCCTAAGATATGGAAAAGGGGAATAATTCCTTTGGGAAATGCTAAGATTTGTATCAAGGCAAAGAGGAGTGTCAAAAAGAAGGCTTTCTGAACAAGAAGGGGGTGATAACTAGAATGTTTAAGGAATAACCAAAGTCAACCAAGAAAACAAAAGTTTCCTTCAGAGAACAACATAGGCAGGACACAGACAAGATACAATATGATACATTGGGAACTGCCCGCAAGGAGTACTCTGTGAGTACTTGTTTCCTCATCAATAATAATTGATTCGTGAGCATAACCTGTCAGAGGCATGACTGATACCTGTAAAGTGCCTAGTGTAATGCCTGCCTGGCATCAAGCACAGTTCAACAAGTCCCCAAATCCTTTCCTACATGAACTGGGCTGTGGATAGTGGTCTGGTTCCACCCATTCCCTTCAGTGTGCTTGTTTGGAGCTTCCATTACCAAGTCAGAGCTGCCAAAAATATTTGCCACAAGCTGCTTTTTGGATAAATTCAGGAGATGGAAAACCACACAACCTTCAATTGCCCCTAGTAACTCTGAGCCCCTAGGAAGGATCTTATAAGAAAAGGAAGGAAAGGAAGAAGGGCTTGCTGTCTATTCACACTATGAGTAAGGTGCCCGCACAGCAGAGAAGGGAAGATGACCAGGAGCAGCCCTCAAAGCACCAATCCTACTCCTCAACCCTCAGTCCCCTAGCCAGCCTTCACTCTGGGAGGGATGCGTTCTCTTCAGAAAGCTTCCCTAGAGAGCGAGTTCTTCCACCCGGCGGTGCCAACCTTCCCTGCGGCTAAACGGAATATGGGACGTATGCAGCAGCCAGGATTTGGGGATCTGGAGTGTGATAATAGGGAAATGCAGACGTAGTGGGGCAGGGAGCGGTGACTAGAGCTCCCGGAAAATGTCTGGAAGGAGGGAGAGCGCTCCGAGACACCAAGCGAGAAGCGAAGACGTAAACCGCCTTAAGATCAAGGACCCGTGGAGGGAGGGAGGTGGAGCGGGGAGCCACCTAAGAGTGTCGAGGCACCAGCAACGCTGAAGGAATTAAAAAGAAAAAGAAAAAAGAAAAGAAAACGGGGGGGGGGGGTAGGGAGGAAAATATTCCTTGAAAGAGCCCCCACCTCCTCCAAGTCCAGCTCCGACCGGTCCAGCAGCCAATCGCGCAGCGGGGTGGGGCCTCTGGGAGGGGTCACAGCCAATAGTGGCGGAGAGGCAGGGCCTGGCTCGCGGCGCGCGGCGGCGGGGTCGCCCCGGGCAGAGATCGCTGAGGCGCGCCGCTGACCCGCGGCATGGAGGACCCTGCGGCGTCCGGGGCCGGGGGACCGCCCACCAATGGCAATGGAAACGGCAACGGCGGAGGCAAAGGGAAGCCGGCTGCACCCAAGGGCCGGGAGGCGTTCCGCAGCCAGCGGCGGGAGTCGGAGGTGAGGAATTCGGAGAACCTTGGTTGGGACTGTGAGACGCCTGAAGGCGGGAAGCGGCGGCTGAGGTGCTTCAGCCTCTGCCCGGGAGCCCCCGGCGCTCGCGGGCGGCCCTCCTGGAGCCAGTGCCTGCAGGGTCCACCGCAGCGGGACTTGGTTCTGCAGCGCGACCCTTCGCACGTCTGACTGTGGGGCTTGCCCCAAGCCCCTCTGGCCTCCCCTGCCCGCTCTGGCACCAAGACGCAGCGCGGTAGTGAGCGTACCAGATACTTTTCAAATATTAATCTCACTTGTTCGTCCCAGGAAGCAAGAATTCGGATCCGGTTTTACAGGGGAGGGAAAGACGCAGAGAGGTTAAGGGGCCAACCTCAGGGGTGGGAGGCCATAGCTGGCTGCGGGAGGGAAGGTCGACCAGTGCGTGGCCCCTTTCCCACTCCGGGGTGCCTGCGATGGGCCCCCAGGCTGGTCTACATTGGCCGCGGGTCTCCTGCCCTTCTCCTGCCACCACCTACCCCGCTGGGTGTGGGGAGCACTTGCGGACATCGGGGCCCTGCCCGTAAGGGTTAAATAAGACAGGATTCAGGTTGGGGCTGTTTGAATGGAACTAGATACAGCTAGGAGTGTGAATATTTGGGTCTCTTCCTCCTCTTCTAAAAAAGAAATCCTAACTAGGACGACGAAAGGACTGAATTATTATCACTCCTCCACACCCTCACCCAGCCAGTTTTCATCAACTATCCAAGAGTAGAATTGGATCTGAGCAGGGATCAGGAGAATAGATCAGAAACTGTCAGAGGTGGAAGAATCTTTCGGTATCAACTGGTCTATCCCTTTCATTTACAGAGTAAAAGAGACAGAACTAACTTGTCCAAGATCAGACATCTGGCATAGTGAGTGGCTAAGAACACCAAGCTTCTTGGTTGGTCAAACCAGGTTTTGAATCCCACACTACCTTTTGCTGTCTATGTGGCTTTTGGTAAATTACCAAACCTCTCTGAGCTCCAGTTTCTTCATCTGTGAAATGGGGTTAGCTGCCTACCGCAGAAGATTGTGATAAAGTCAAAATGAGATGATTAAATCTAAAATGTTCACGTAATTAATTGGTCAGTACATAGTAGCTCTTAACTATATTACTATCATCATCATCATCAACATCATCATCATCATCAGAGCTGGTACTAAAAGCTAGGTCTTGGTGTTCCAGTCCACAGTTTATCACTGGATAGTATTTCACAGCTTCCCAAGTGATTTCAGGTATGCTTCCTAATCAGACACAAGCCACATAGGAATTGTTATCTTCCTTTTCATTATTTTTCCCCTCCCTCCCCAGCAATTGAACCCAGAGCCTAGAAAATGCTAAGTATGTGCTCTACCACTTAAACTTCCAATCCTTGCTTTTTAAAAGATAGAGGTAAAGGAGGTGAAAAGACTGGCCCAAAGTCACTACCTCATACAAGCAAGAGCTCAGCCCTTTTGTCTTCTGGATCATATCTACATCATCTCCCTCCTGAGGGATCTGGTGTGCTTCCTTCCCCTGCAAAATTGCTAAAAAAAAAAAAAAAAAAAAAAAAAAAATTGGTAGGGGATGAATTATTTATTAATTCAGCAATACATTGTTAATTCAGAACCTACATGTTAAGTTCTCAGTCTCACAAAGTTATTGAGGCCTTTTGATATGTCAGGCACTGTTTTAGTTTCCAGGGATACATCAGGGAACAAGAAAGGTCTTTGCCCTTGTGCAGTTAACTAGAAAGTGGGGGCAGGAGACTGACAATCAGCAAATAAAATAATTTTAGAGTGATATAGTCTATGAGAGAATTCAAAAACACTCCCTACCCCTAATCTCTTCTGAAGTAGGAGGCATGTTCCAACTATCAAGTTGTCCTTCAGGAAAAGGCTCTGATAGTACTTTGCTTTTGCCAATGAACTTGGTGTCTGGAGACTCAGAGCTTTCCACTTGCACTACAGTTTACCTGCTTATTGTCTGCAGCTGTATTCTTCATGCCTGGAAATGAACAACTGCAGTGATCATCTCTATCTGGGTTCAATGCCTGCCAAAAGCCTAGCTGGAAAGATTAGCTTTCCTCTACCTTGCACTGCAGCAGGATGTACCTGTCAGTACATCCCCTATCACTACAATACCCAGAAGCCAGATCTGTTCTCTCTCTCTTTTTTTTTTTCCTTCTCTTTGCTGTCCTGTGGAAGACAATGCTTAGAGGAAATTATTTTCTTTTTTCTCTAGGGCTTGTAGATAATTACTAGAAGAGAATTACTGTTGGTACAGGGGGCACTGTTGACCCACCCTCTTCCAAAGCCTTAAAGGTACATGAACATCTCATGCACTAAAAAAGGAAGTTAGAGAATAATTATTTGCTTAATAAGAAGATTCATAGCTGGGTTCAGTGGTGCACGCCTGTAATCCCAGTGGCTTGGAAGGCTGAGACTGGAGGATTGCAAGTTCAAAGCCAGACACAGCAAAAGCAAGGTGCCAAGCAACTCAGTGAGACCCTGTCTCTGAATAAAATAACAAAATAGGGCTGGGGATGTGGCTCAGTGGTTGAGTGCCCCTGAGTTCAAACCCCTGAACCACCCCCTGCTGTAAAAAGAAAATTCATAATAGGTTTTACCCCCACCCATCCCCAGTACCATGAAGAGAAGAGGTAAGAAAGAAAGGAAGGAAAAAAGAAAAAGATTTCACTCTTACACTTCTTTTAGCCAGATCTTCTTGTTTATTGGTTCTAAGGTCCTTGACAAAGTTTTAAATGTTGTGTGGGAAAATTAAGGGCAACAAAGTGAGTTTTTCTAAAATTTAACCTCACTATATTGAATTCAAAGGATGTATGCAATTTAAAATTTTAAAACAGTGGTTTTCAAACTGTAGGGAGCAACCTATAAATGGGACCAACTTTTTATTTTTTTGAGGAATAGGATAATAGAAAACATCAGTTCATCTCATATAGTAAGGGTAAATTTTTATTCCAGTTCTTGTATGTTATATAAATTATATTTATTATTTTCTGAAAACAGTTTTTAATGAAACCACTTTATTCTGAGGTTGTGTTCTTCCCATTTTTGGATTATTAAGCTTTTTAAGTTCCTCCTTACCAGAATAAGAATAAAACATTGTGGGTTGTAGCTTATGGTTGAGCACTTGCCTCACATGCATGAGGCACTGGGTTTGATCCTCAGCACCACATAAAAATAATTAAATAAACTAAAGATATTGTGTATATATATATATATATATATATATTTGTGCCCATAATAAAAAACTTGGAAATCTTTGTTATAGTAGAGTTAAACATGATTACATGATTTGCTTTGTTGGCAGTGTAAGTAAACATCTTGTGGTATACAGACAGCCACAAAAATATCCATTAGAGTTGAAAATTCCCTTTATAAGAATTATAAGAATTTATAAGAATCTTAGGAAAGATCCCAAGTATTAAAAAAATTGTAAGAGTATTATAACTTTATGTTCAAAATTGGAGAATTGCTTCAGTAAACCAGTAGATATCCATCCATGTATGTAACTATTTAAAGTAATTGTCATAATAATATGAGAAGAATGCTCTTATAATAAAATATTAAAATTATAAGTAGAGTAACCACCCACATTGTGCTGCCAAGTGCTAGGTGTTATGCTAAGTGCCTTTCCTATTAACTCATTTAGTCCTTATGTCAACTCTGTGAAGTAAGTCCTATTATTCTCATTTTACAGATTAGAAAACTGAGCACATCAATTTCCAACAATTCCCTGACACAACCTGGATATCTTACATTTCAATTCAATTCTGATACTACCTAGAGTTATCTCATACCCTACATGTTAAGTTCTCAATCTCGCTTTAGATACCAGCCCCAGTGGGTAGAATAACTCATAGAACTCAGGAATGCATATACTTATGATTACAATTTTTTAGTAAAAGATACAACTTAGAAACAGCCAAATGAAAGGTATGAGCCTAAAGTAGAATGGAGCATCTATGCCCTCTATTAGGGAACCATACTCCTAGCACATTTATTTGTTCACCAACCCAAAAGCCACCCAAGTAGTTGTTTCATGGTTTTCATATGGAGTTTCATTTCTTAGGCATGATTAAACCATTGACCATGTGACTGAAATCAGTCTATAGTCACCACAATTCAGGTGGGGTGGTGCTAAGTTATATCTTCAAAACACACACTTGGTTTTTCTGGCAGGGCCAATTCCTCCCTTGAAACTATCTAAGGACCCTCCATGAATCACCTCATTAGCATAACTTCTGATATGGTTGACAGGGGCTCATTATGAATAACAGACAGTCCTATCAAGAAGTTCTAAAGTTATTAGGAGCTCTGTGCCAAGAACCAAGGGCAAAGATGAAATATATTTTTTATACCACACTGAGGCACAGAGAGATTAACTTGCCCATGATCACATAGTATGTGGCAGCTAAAATTCAAAATTTTAAAGTTGTGTAAAAGAAAATACCCACAAAATGCTTAAAGAGGTAGGATTATATTAAAAGTATTTTTAATATGGTTATATATGCAACATCATAGGAAATTAAGCCTTTAATTCAACTTGGAGTGGAAATGGTACCCCATTTGACAACCTTAAGTTGTGGAATATTAGGGCTGAAAAAACTCTGTAAATGAGGACCTCCACAGTATGAGACATGCCCCAAATCATACAGGGGGTTAATGACAGAAATAAGGCTAAGATCCATTTCTTGTTCTCTAATAAGTTGTCCATCTCATTTTTTAAGGTATCAGTTAGATGTCCCTCTGGTCCATGTTTATGTAGATTAGATAAGGGTTGTAGATTTCATTTCTGCTAACAAATCATGTCCTTTACCACTTTCTGATTTTTATATAGGAACCCTCATCTCTTTTTATACTAAGCCTCAAGTTTTAGCTTAGAAAAATGAACTTCTTGGGTGAAAGGGCCAAATGGGACTTTGTAATTGATTCCCTGATCTAACCTTGGCCTCCAACAGGGGAAGAAGGTGAAATGAAGGTATAAATTTCCCTTTGCAAATCCTTTCCCCAAGTTACCTTAGTTACCAGAAAAAAATTTTCCATTACAGGGTTCTGTGGACTGCCCCACTCTGGAGTTTGAATATGGAGATGCAGATGGGCATGCAGCAGAGTTGTCAGGTATGAAATATATGGGTCACTAGGAAGTGGAACAATAACCAGGAGGAGAGGAAAGTGCCTGTGATCTCTGGCAGCTTCTCTGGTTTCAGCAAGTGGCTGTTGAACAAAGGCTCTTCTCCACATTGCTTTTCCTCTCCATTCTCTAGTGGTAATTATCTCTGTGTTTGTTTTCATATTGTCTTTTGTGAATTCTCTTTGGCTATAGTGTTCTTTCTGCTCACCCTTATTTATTTGTTTTGGTACATTTTCAAATCAGATTTTTCTTCACCTTCTTCCCATCAACTTCTTTCTCTTCATGTCTTTGCATGCCCATTCTTTCTGCTACCCTCTCTTTATCCCTTAATCTCTCTTTCTCTTAAGCTTCTCTAACCTTCATCTTTCTCCCTTCCATTAATACCTGCCCCTCATGAAAATCTCAGCAATGTCTAAAGAAAATTCTAGACAACTGGCCAGCTGAGCAAGACTAGACATGTCACCTGCAGCCATCACAGCAGAGCTCTGCCTTTGAATGTTTGTGAGTTGGAGTTAAGTGATCCCATTCTTCTTTCACTTTGGGCTGCTTCTCTGTCTGGATTTTTAGCTTAGGGTAAACGTGACCTCACATTAAGGGCCTCAGTGTTACACATGTTATGAATATTAGTTATTAATAAACGAGCTTCAGTGGAGATGGTACAGAAGTTAAATATTCTGTTACATGGAAGTGAGACTTTGAAACATACTTTTTCAGAGTAAAAAGACAAACATTTTAAAAGAAGTTTCTGTGAATAAGCACAGGGAATAAATTTTGTCATGAGTGACAGAGAAATAGAGAGCTAAGCTTAATAATGAACAATGGATTCAAATCCAGAATATGTATGTTTATATGTATGTATGTATATTAGAGAGAGAGGGATGGCCAAAGAAGTGATGAACAACCCAGTAGAGAAGTGAACAAAGAATATGAATATGAATTCATAGAAGAGAAAACTAAATGGTCAGTAATTATATGAGTATCTGGGGTGTAATTCAGTGGTTGAGTGTTTTCCTAGCATGCAATCAGTCCCCAGCACCACAAAAATAAACAAACATATGAAAAGATGTTCAGCTTCATTAGTAAATGGGGAAAGGCAAAATAATGAGATATAACTTCACAGTATTCATATTGCAAAACTTAAAAGCCTAAGATTGGTGAGGATGCAAAGAAATGAGCATTTTTCTGCACTGCTATGTATAGCAGTATAGGGAAGCTAAATATAAAGTTGGAAGGCAATTGGACTTGAACTTACTATCTTCCTGCCCCAGCCTTCTGAATCAATGGGATTATAGGCATGTACCACCATGCTTACTTAGATAAAATATTTTCAAACAGAACAATATAATGTGTTGTTTACAGCTGCATACAAATCATATCTAATAAAATTGAAAATATAAAATCTATTATGACCCAGTAATTCTATTAGATATATATTCTAAAGAACCTTACACTTGGGCACAAGAAAATGTACAAAGATGTTTATTACAGTCTTGTTTATAATTCTGAAAATTTTAAATCAATCTAAAATACCCATCAGTAGGGGAATGGATAAGCTATAGTATATCAGTGTTATAGTCTACTTGTCAGGAGCTGCTCTGGAAATAAATACCCTTAAGTCCTGAGCAAGAGATACTGAACAATTATTGCACCCCACAATAACTTGGGTTTTACCTCTGCTTAGGAGTAGGCGTTACCTCATGGGGTTAAGTTACCCTCACCTATTCCTTTGTAATCCTACCCCTTCTGCCTTCTTTGGATAGAATGTCCTAAGAAACAGCTTCCTCTCAAATAAAAGCCCACTTCCGAACTGCTCTCTCTCTCTCATCAGCCTCTCGGGATCTTCTCTTGCCCCCCTTTTTGGGGAGCCTGAGGCCGGGAGCCAGGGAAAGCCGTCCTGAAGCTTATAAAAGGTATTCTGTGTCTGTGTGGTATTTTGCATCACCCCAAATTCACACAAGTGACTTTAGTTCAGCATGGGCAGCAGTCTACACTGTAGCCATTAATATAGTTGATCTGTATCAACATGCTTCTATATCAATAAATGCTAAAAACAAAAGTTGGTGGAAAGCAGTGACAGCACAATTTATACAATATGATACTGTTTTAGATAAAAACATTTTTGTACTTGGGTTTGAACTCAGGGGTACTCTACCACTGAGCTCCATCCCCAACCTTTTTTATTTTTTATTTTGAGTCAGGGTCTCATGAAATTGCCTAGGCTGGACTCAAACTTACTATCCTCCTGCCTCAACCTCTTGAGTTACTGGGATTATAGGTGTGTGCCACTAGATAAAATCTTTTCAAACAAAACAATATCATATGATGTTTACAGATATACACATGTGTAGTAAAAGTATAAAAGTGGAGATGTGAGGGGCTGGGGCTGGGGCTCAGCAGCAGTGCACTTACCTGGCATGTGTGAGCACTGGTTCAGTTCTCAGCACCGCATATAAATAAATAAAATGAAGGTCTATCAACATCTAAAAAAAATTTTTTTAAAAGTATACATGTGAAGGATACACACCAATTTTATTATAGTGATTACTTCTAGAGAAGGGAATAAAAGACTGGGGAGCAGTCTGAAGCAAATATAGCAAATGTTAACATTTGTTTAATCTGGGTAGAAGATACACAGGTGTCTTAAATGTGTTTTTACTTATCTGTATATGAAATCTTGAGATCTAAAACTTAAAAAATAAGAACTTTAAAAATCAACAACAGACACTAGTATGGCAATATGTAAATCAATGGATGTGTAACTGATGTGATTCTGCAATCTGTGTATGGGGTGAAGGTGGGAGTTCATAACCCACTTGAATCAAAGTGTGGAATATGATATGTCAAGAAATTTGTAATGTTTTGAACAACCCACAATAAAAAATTTAAAAAAAAAAATCAAAGCCCAGTACCTAAGAGCTTTTGCTTATTTTTCTCCTATTCAAGTACTAACCAAGTCCAATTCTTCTTAGCTTCCAAGATCAAATGAGATTGGGCATATTCAGGGTGGTATGGCCATGGACAAGCCTTGTTCACATTTCTGACTGGGCTTGTAGTGCTCTACTCATAAAAAAAATAGTGTTGGGGTGTAGCTCAATGGTAGAGAACTTGTGTAAATTCAATCCCCAGCACTGCAAAAAGAAAAAAGAAAGAAAGAAAAAAATTAAGTCACAGTGAAATCTTTGCCTGCCTACATATGCCTGTAGTCCCAACTACTTGGAAAGCTGAGGCAGGGGGACCATTTGAGCCCAGAGGTTCAAGACCAGCCTGAGCAACTTAGTGAGACCCTGGTTCAAAAAATATATAAGATATATAATATCCACATTCTCCACTAATGACTAAACTATTTAAGATTCAGAGATGAGATTTGCTTCTGGTCACTCCCAGATTCTGGAACTTGGGACTCAGAAGCTCTGACAAGGTGTTTCTCATTAGACAGCTGACTGAAATATAAAGGAATTTCTCTTTTTTGTAATTATCTCTGACAGGGGAGTGGGGAATAGAGATTTTAAGGAACTCTTGTTAATCACCTATTGATTTTTAAAAACTCAGTTCTTTATCTTCTATAAGACAAGGGTACAGGTAGAATGTTCTAGAATTTGTGTATTTATAGGAATGAACATTTTTATTCTCAAGCTTTCTGCATTTTATATTAGAGACTATTGTTAGTTAAATTAGGTTTTCCTGAGCATAATCAGCCCTTTGGCAACCATAACTGCTTTCTACATGGTTTGCTGCCCAGGTGGCTATGGACAGAAATCTAAACTTTTATACCTTTCAAGGAAACACATCAGGGAGAGGGTGAACTGGCTCCAACCCTGAAGAGCAATCAGCAGGTATTTTTTCAGTCCTTGTGCTGGCTTCCTGAACAACACAAGGATCTTTCCACTAAATTTCAGGAGTTGTATTGCCTTTCTCTTCTGTAGAGATAGGATAGTTCCATTCTGGGTTGACAAAATAGAATGGGTGACGGCCCTAAGAAACAGGAGGGATGACTTTAAACCTTCTGTGCTCCAACCCTCCTCCTGGTCCTCACCAAATGTCGAAGGCTGCCTTCTCTACTGCAGCAGCCAGCTGGCAGGAGGAGGACAGGTTTGATGGTTTAATCACCCAGGGACACAAGTGGCTATTTTTAACTGCTCTGAAAGGGAGGAAGCTGGCTCTGAATTGAATTGGACACAGGAATGTGTTGGAAGTTTAGCTCTTTCATGCCACCCTCTCCACCTTGCCCTCCCGCTTTTTTTTTTGGGGGGGGGGCAGGTACTGGGGATTGGACCCAGGAATGCTTAACCACTGGACCACATCCCCAGCCCCCCTCCTTTTTTTTAATTTGGGAAAGGGTCTCACTAAGTTGCTTAAGACCTTTCTGAGTTGCTGAAGCTGGCTTCAAACTTGCGATCCTCCTACCTCAGCCTTCCCAGTTACTGGGATTATAGGCATGCACCACTGCGCCTGGCCTCAGTCCCTTTCTTTAGGGTCTCCCAAATGTGACCCTGTTCTGTCTTTCCTGCCACAGAATTGTATAGCTACACTGAGAACCTGGAATTCACCACTAACAGGAGATGCTTTGAAGAAGACTTCAAGACTCAAGGTGATCCCAGACCCATACTCATAGAGACATGATTTTTTCCCTCCATGATATCCCAGTCTGATCTATTAAAAGGCTGTAGCAAAATATAACTCTTCAGCTTCCTCCCCCATGACCACATACTCTTGTACGTGGGATACAGGATTCTCTATATCTCAAATAAAGAGGTAATGGGGTAGAAGCAAGAGAATCTTGAGCTGGGCTTCTTTCCCTGGTATAAGGGTCCAAGAGAACAGAGGGGTGGTAAGGCAAGGCTGGACTAGTGCCCTTTTGCCTGATGGAACCTCATGCCTATCTTAGTCTTTGACATTAATGTTTAACCTCTGCCTCTAACTCTGCCCCACTCTCAATAGCAATTTTTTGTGCCCACACTATGGTATCTTCAGATCTCTATTTTCTTACTTGGTAAAAGGCAATTCAATTTTCAATTCAACAAATGTGTGGTGAGTATGTGTTATATTAGATGCAGGAATCCGGGAGAAGATAAATTTTCCACTTCTACAAAGAGGTTATGGTTTATAGCAATGGGAAGATGTATACAAAACTAGTTGAGTCCAAGAGAAAAATAGTAAATGTCATAGAAAAATAAAATATCTTAGGAGCAGAGTCTTTGACTGGAGCATTAGTGTAAAAGAGGTCATCTTGTATCGGGCCTTTAAGGATGATTAGGAGTTAGGTATGGATGGAGATAGCAGGAACTCCTTGAGAAAGGCAGAAAAATAGGACAGAATAGGCTCTGTGTATGTGTAAGACTGAGAAAATTTTGACGATGAGGCTACAGAATGGGTTCAGCACAGAACATTTTGGGTCCTTTTCCTGTTCCTTTTTCTTTCTTAGCTCAATAAGAAAAACTTTGGGCTGGGGATATAGCTTATTGATAGAGCACTTGCCTAGCACGTGTGAGGCCCTGGGTTTTTTGTTTTTTGTTTTTTTTTTCCCAGCACTACAAAACATAACTAATTAGGAAAACTTTTGGAAAAAATAATTGTTAGGGGGGCTGGGGTTGTGGCTCAGTGGTAGAGCATGCGCCTCTCACGTGTGAGACCCTGGGTTTGATCCTCAGCACCACATAAAAATAAATAAATGAAATAAAAACATTGCGTCCATGTATAACTAAAAAAAAAAAAATTAAAAAAAAAAAAAAGAATTGTTAGGGGCTGAGATCAGAGGTGCTATCAGGAGCCTTTCTGGGAAGGGTTGGCAATAGCCAATACTGTATGTATATGGTCTTTTATTCCCAGTGCAAGGGAAGGAATGGCTGGAGTTGGAAGAAGATGCCCAAAAGACCTATGTGATGGGACTTCTGGACCGGCTGGAAGTGGTCAGTAGGGAGCGGCGACTGAAGGTGGCCAGGGCTGTTCTGTATCTGGCCCAAGGTGAGTACCAACTATTTCTAGAGACAAGTAGAGGCTGAGGAGGGAAGTGGAATGAGGCAAACTGTGCTAGGAAAGCAAGTTCCGCTTGCCTCTTAAGGACACATCTTGCCATGGGCTAGGAATAACCCACACTTATAAGGAAAATAAATCGGTGTCGGGTACTATTCTGGATCCCTTGGGATATGCCCTTATTAGGCATGTCAGAATTTCTTATGGGATTCTTTTTTCCTAATTTGGACTGTAAGCATATGTGAAGATTACCAAGAGAGTCAGTGTGGTCAAAGCTGACAGTGTACCACCAGCTAAGCATAGAGATGTCTTTCAGTTGTTTGTAGGCCCCAACACTGAAGGAAGGCAAGGGTATATCACAGATCACACATGGACACTCTGCATGGTTTCTTGTTGGCATTTTGAAGATTCAAGCCAACATAGCAACAGGAAGGGATGCTGTGAGTAATTTGGTGACGATTAGAACTAATTGAGATTAATTGGGGAACTCTTCCCAGAAGAGACCTGTTAGCCAGGTGTTGGAAAGGAAAAGGAGATAGATAGCCTACCTGGAGTAGTGAAAATAAGCCCTGAGATCAAATATAAGGATTGTTAGCAAACCAACTAGTTGGGAAATTGTAAAAGAAAAAATAAATGGAGAAGAAAGAAGATGGACATTGAGTAAAGGAAAAACTATAACAAATAAGGTGGTGCCACCCCATCTCTTGGGTTTGATGCTCTGACTAGTGGCCAATATGGAAGTATTTTTGCCTAAGGATATTCTCTGCAGCCCACACAAGGCAGCCAGGAAGTGTAGGTAATTAATATGCTTCATGAGTCCAGCAGACCTCATAAAATGACTGACAGTAGTAAGTAGATGAAAAGCCTGATTATCTCACCCCTCTTGGATGGAATACTTCTGAGTTGTTTTATAGAGTTCCAGAGCTTACTCTGGGGTTGAGTGTTTTGGGCTGCCTTCTCTATCTCATTTCTCTACTCCTCTACTGATTATTCCCAAATAAACTACTTGAATTTCAGTCCTTACTTATCTCAGGATCTGCAACTGGGGAAACCCAAACTTAAGACTCCCTTGTTGAGTACTTTGGACCTAACCCTGGAGACTACCTCACCTCTCCCCTTACTCATTTGATGAAATTCTTCAGGGTTTTGAAGTTCTGCCCTACATTTGTTAGTCTATTTATTAGGCAGGGTATTAGAGAAAAGCCTTAAGACCATGGGGCAAGGTGGAAAGAACTGGGATACCTGTCCCTGCTCAACCTCTATGGCAATTGTCTGGTCCTTTAGGCACTTTTGGGGAATGTGATTCAGAGGTTGATGTGCTACACTGGTCCAGGTACAACTGCTTCCTGCTCTATCAGATGGGGACCTTCTCGGCCTTCCTGGAGCTACTCCACATGGAAATCGAGTGAGAAACCTTAGGGGAGGGGCTGGCCTAGATAACCCTCTTCTTTGATGGTACCTCATGTTCTATGATGATTTCCTTAGTAGAGACACCTATAGGAGCTGGGTCTACTCAGCTCAAAGTTCACTGAAAGTTCCTTTCCATCTGGCCATTTCCTAATATTCTGTCCTCCATTCTTGAAGTTGTGTTCAGCCCCAGCTTTTGCCCCAACTATAGCTTCAGTCCTGGAACCTATCCTGGTTGGGCTTCCTTTTTATCTAAGAACTTTTTCATCTCAGCCAAATTCTGGAATTCATGAAGGAAGCTGTTCTACCTTCATGAATATAACCCAAGAGGAACAGGACCAATTCTTGTCATTGTGCCCAATTCTTCCTAGAGTTTATAGCTCTAGCAGTGGCTTTATCTGCTGCTACTACAGTCACCCCTCATTTTGTCTCATGTCTGTCACCCACCAGTTTAGATGGGGTAAAATCTACTTCTTATTCATCAGGTATTGCTTAGCATCTGTTTTGTGTCCAGCACAGTGCAAGGAAGGCATATTGGGGATCATAAGAGGAATGATATCACAGAACCCACCTTGCCTGTCTTCACCACAGGTGAAGGTTTGCTGAGGTGACAAGGGAATACTATGAACTCGCTTACTTTAGACCAGTTTCATTAGTGTCTGCATAGCCAGGGAATGACAGATGTTCTTGTTTATGTGCATGATAAGTGGGAGCTTAGGAAGAAAGTAGGCCTTATGGATTTCTGTTGTCTTCCTCCTCCCCGGCAGCAACAGCCAGGCCTGTAGCAGTGCTATTCGGAAACCAGCTGTCTCCATTGCTGATAGCACAGAGCTCCGGTAAGTAAGACTGACTGTGAGTTTGAGACAGGGACATGTTTAGCACCAGGTTACCCTTTCCCCAAATCCTACCACTAGGAAGTTGCCCTTTAACTAGTCTTCTTGGGTTGGACTCCCACTGGGGAGGTCTCCCATCTCTGGGGTCTCTGACTACAAGCTGAGAACTGTCTTGGAAACCTCATGTGACTCTTCTGTAACAGGGTACTGCTGAGTGTCATGTACCTAATGGTGGAAAATATCCGCCTGGAGCGAGAGACAGACCCCTATGGGTGGAGGACAGCACGGGAGACCTTCCGCACTGAATTGAGTAAGAAGTGGCTGCGCTCAAGAAAGGGTTGGAATGGAGTGCTAATGATGGAGGGGAGCAGAACATCTGCCCAGGACAGGAACATAGTCTTTTTATTTTTCCTTTTTCTTTTTAAAATGAACATACTTTCTTTTGGGATAGATACTACATGGCAAGCATAAGGACTGGGCTTGATTGTCCATTCCCCTGTGTCTATGAGCGAGGACTAGTCATAACTTCTCCATGCCTTGTTTTATGTGCTTAGAAGTGGGGATAGCTATCCCTTTCCCATTCCATGAATCCTACATGAAAAAATGAGTTGAACCTCTTTGAAAACTGACCTCTTTTCAAATGTAATGGTCATCTAACAGGGATAGGATGTGAAGGCATTTGTTTGTTTGTACCAGGGATTGAACTCAGGGGCTCTCAACCACTGAGCCACATACCCAGCCCTATTTTGTATTTTATTCAGTGACAGGGTCTCACTGAGTTGCTTAGTGTCTCGCCATTGTTGAGTCTGGCTTTGACCTTATGATCCTCCTGCCTCAGCCTTCTGAGGTGCTGGGATTACAGGCATGTGCCACCTCACCTGGCTTGCATGAGGTTTTTTAAATACATTTATTGATGTGGGAAAGTGAAATGTGTTCCACGAAATACCTCAATTCCTTCAGCCAGAAAGCAATATCCTCATAAATGCCAAAATGACTGTTTGGCATTTATCCACAAAACATCACCCTAAGCTCTTGGAGTCAAGTCATTTTACCTCTATAGCTTCCCTTTCTGCTCTTGAGGGCCTTCCCTCTGAGTCTCACTAAGACTCATTCTCAGGACCAAAGACTCTGGTATTCTTCAGAGTAGGCAAGCACTTTCCTTAGTGGGTTCAAAATCAGGGATACAGGGGCAGGGTTTCAGCTACTTTGTCCTCATTTTCTCACTTGTCTTTCTTTACACTTCCAGGCTTCTCCATGCATAATGAGGAACCTTTTGCCCTTCTGCTCTTCTCCATGGTTACCAAGTTCTGCAGTGGCCTAGCCCCCCACTTTCCCATTAAAAAGGTCCTTCTTCTGCTCTGGAAAGTGGTTATGGTGAGTCGCCGATCCTTCCCATTCCATCTCATCAGATCAGCAATGCATAACCTCAATTTCTTCTAGTCTGATTCCACGAGCTAGAGCTAGGCAGCAGAATGACCAGCTGTTAGCCAATAGCTAAGAAGACGTGGTAACAAAGCCATCCTAAAGACATCAGATATTCTATATCAGAGCAGGTTACTGTTTCTATTGGACAAATGTGAGATGCCACTCCATGAGCTGGAGTATTAATGGCACCTTCCCCTTATAGAGCTAATGTTTCATGGAATGAATACTGGCTGAAAATTAGGAGAAATAGTTCTATTCATTCTAAGGAACCTTGGGAAATTCTGTGTCTCAGTTTCTTTAGCTATAAAATGTTGGGACTAGTGCCTGCACTCCCTCCAGATAAACAAAGGATTTTTTTTTTTTTTTTTTTACAAAATGAAGTTCTGGTAAGTATATGATTGCAAGTATATTCAACTAATCTTCATCTCTGGCTCCCATTCCACAGGACTGCCTGATCAACATACCCTTCAGGCAGACCTCATAGGGGGAACTGTCATTTGATTGCAGAGGAAATTAATTCTGTGGGCTCATAACATCTTCATGAGCCTCTTAAAAAGTAAGATTAAAAAAAAAAAAAAACAATCCAGGTTTAGTGGCACACACCTGTAATGCCAGCAACTCTCGGGGCTGTGGCAGGAAGATCACAAGTTCAAAGCCAGCCTCAAGCAACTTAGTTAGGCCCTAAACAACTTACTGAGATCCTGTCTCAAAAACTAAAAAAGACTGGGAATGTGACTCAGTGGTTAAGTGCCCCTGGGTTCTATCCCTGGTTCCAAAAACAAATAAAAGTAAATTAAAATAATTTATGAAAAGGTAAGCTCAAGTGGGAAATTTTTAATAAACCAAGATCATTTTCTGTTTTTTCAGGGGAGGCTCCCAGGAATTCCCTTTCTAACTTCTGTTTCCAACCCTGGATCAGTAAATAGAGGTTTATCCTGACCTCTGAGCTCCTTAGACTGAAATGGGAACCATGTCTGCCCCTTGCTGTTTTACTACTTCCTTATTTAGAAGGGAATCTGAAGAGACTGGAGATTTTGACTTTTTCTTTCAATCCATGTTTCCCTGACCTTACTATCTCTGACTTCCCGCCCTTCCTCTCTCTTCTCTGCCCCTTTCCATGTTTTTACACTTTTAGTTTACCCTTGGTGGATTTGAGCATCTGCAGGCTCTCAAAATAAAGAAGCGGGCAGAATTGGGCCTGCCTCCACTGGCCGAGGACAGTATCCAGGTGGTGAAGAGCATGCGTGCTGCCTCCCCACCCTCTTACACTCTTGACCTGGGGGAATCTCAGCTGGCACCACCACCCTCCAAGCTGCGAGGCCGTCGTGGTTCTCGAAGGGTATGGACCAAAGCATATAGTAGCACTGCAACATTGGGTGGCCAAGAATCAAGATTCTAAACCATTCTGGGTATGGTAGGAAAGGGAAGTAAATTACCTGGCTTCTGCTCCAGGTGGGCCCTGTGATCAACCCAAAACCTTAGAATCTCTACTTTGTCCTCTATACTCAGCCCTGACAGGCCCCTGTGCTGTCCTTGATGGAACTCTGTGATATCATATCATGGCCATGAGTTCTTCAGGATCATTGATGTGGACCTCAATGAATGAAGTTCCTAAGCATCCTGAACATCATTTGGGGTAGAGTCCTGGGGATATGGAACCTGAAAGGGGCTACCAGCAAATTCATGTCTGAGGTTAGGTACTAGCATTTTTTGGTAGCAGAAAGATTCACTCTTGAGCCAGCCATACTCTTGTCTGACCATGAAACTACAAACTTACAGTCGAGAGATGACTAGTTAAGGTTCTAGGTATAGTGTACAGTCCTGAAAAAGTCAGAATAAGTTACACTGAGACCTGGCCATGTTCCCATGAACATATCTGCCTGACCTATCTGAGTTCACCAACTAAAGATAACAGAGCCAGACAGTCATGCTTAGCAATCCAGTTTGCATTATATGCAGTGGAATTTTTTTGATCTTTGTTTTTTATTTTATAAAGTAATGCTTACTCATTGTAGAAATTTGGAACAAATATAAAAATGTGACAAAGGGAGGAAAGAAAAATCACCCACAACTTAACAACAAGAGGCAGTGACTGTTAACTTTTTGGCCTATTTCTGTCCAATCTCTTTCTATAACAAAATTTGAAATTCAGAACTTGCTTCCCTCTGCCTAGAAGCAATCTTCTGTGCTCCTCTTCCTCAGTCAGCCAGCTGGAGTATGCTTACATAAGGCAAACTAATTGAATGTTCACTTAAACAGATCATAATTTGGAAGGAAGGTTCTGGCAAAAAAATTTAAAAAGGCATCAATGCTATCTGAAAGCTAAATAACTATAACTTTAGGATTATCTATGCTGTGTTCCTAGCCACATGGTTGCCAGAGGGCTGCTTGTCCTGGGGTTGGCTACTTAGGCTATAAGGTCAAGATAAGAAACAGAATGTTTCTTACATGAGCTGGGGTCCAGTTCCATGTTCCCTAAAGTCTGGAAGGCTGTAGGAAGAGGGTGGCTTTAGACAACAGTGCTCAGGGTGAGATCTTAATGTGCTTTCCTCCCCCAACCTCCAGCAACTCCTCACTAAGCAGGATAGCCTGGATATCTACAATGAAAGGGATCTTTTCAAGACTGAGGATCCAGCCACAGAGGACGAAGAGGAATCTGCTGGTGATGGAGAACGAACCTTAGATGGAGAGTTAGACCTGCTAGAGCAGGACCCTTTGGTGCCACCTCCACCTTCACAGGGACCCCTCTCTGCTGAGAGAGTGGCCTTTCCCAAGGGCTTGCCCTGGGCCCCAAAGGTCAGGTAGGTTTTATTACACAGGGACCCTGAGCTTTGGAGTTTCAATGACCAAAGGTCCAAGGTAGAATACTCTTTTTTTTTTTAATATATTTTTTAGTTGCCAGTGGACCTTTATTTTTATTTATTTATATGTGGTGCTGAGGATTGAACCCAGTGCCTCACACATGCCAGGCTAGCGGTCTACCACTGAGCTACAACCCCAGCCCCTGGAATACTCTTTTTTCAATGCTTATTAATTTGGCCTGACAGTCAGAACTTCTGGATTTGAAGTTATCTCTGTTGATTGCCATTGTCCCCCCACTGCTCCAAGCTTCCAGTTGGAGGGGCAGGAGCCCAGAAAATTTCTTTCTCTCAATGTTTGCTTTTCTTCCCTTTTCTGGGGTTGGTCTTTCTACCATCCTCTTAGACAAAAGGACATTGAGCACTTCTTGGAGATGAGCAGGAACAAGTTCATCGGATTCACCCTGGGGCAGTAAGTGACTCTGTGGTCCAAACTGGCTGTAAAATGGTTCCTAGGGGACCAGAGGAGCAGGTGACTTGCAATGAGGGGTGTTTCAAGTAGTCATAATGTACCCTAGAACCACCAGGCCCCAGTTACTACTTTGCATTCTTTCTGTGGAAATTTTTCTTTGGGTTCCTTCCAGATTCCTCAAAGAACTCTTGTGTTTTTAGTGAGGCATAGCATCTTGAATTAACAAGTCATCTGGGCACAAATTTACTCATGGGGGTGTTAGATTAGATGAAGAAGAGGAGATTATGGTCATAACAGATCCAGTCTTCCCATGTTTCCTCACTATCATGAAAGCCTCCCACTGGCCTCTACAAAACCTAGAAGGCTTTGTTATTGGGGTTTTCATGTCAAAAGTGTCTTTGGGCTACATACCCTTTAATGTAGAAACCTATCACTGCCAGACCAAGCGAGTCTCCAAGGAATCTCCTAATTTTCAGGAAAACTTCTGTGTGCCATTGTTATCTTTGTGTTCTGAAGCAAGATGGGGGAAGCTTGCAGAAGAAAGTCCAGAGTATCAGAGGTAGATGCTGAAAGTGGCATTGTCCCTGTGACTCCAGGATGCATGGGTAGTTTTCTTTTATTTTTGAAGCTTATGGTTTGGTAATTCTGGCCTTTCACAGGGACACAGATACCTTGGTTGGATTACCCAGACCCATCCATGAGAGTGTGAAGACCCTAAAGCAGGTGACCAGGGTGGGCTCTCAATCTTCAGGGATAGGGAGCCATCAAGGCAAGTTGAATTACCAGGGTTTGGGGTACTGGGAGGAGCTCTTCTACCAGACACATTCCGGACCTTCTGCATTTCCCCTGCAGGCCTTTTGGCTAAATAGGAAAAACCAAATCCCTTTCTACTTATCCAGTTTACTGCATTCAGATAGATGAAAAAGTTTTCCTTTCTTCCTCTCATTCCTTTTCCCTATTTCCATTCTTCTCTTTCTTCCCACTCCTTGCTTCCTTTCCTTTCCTTTCACTTTTCTCTCCCCATAGGTCCGCTTACTTTCAAAGGCCCAAGATTGGGTAGAAATGTGCTCCACATCTATGTGGGTGTCAGCACAGACTACGGAGTCACCATTCCATACACACATGCATGGCCATCAAGACTCTCAGGGCAGTGGTCTAGGGGCAAAATCCTATTCTTGGCTTCCCTTAGCACTTTGTTTGAAGGTAAATGCTTAGGTATTTGCTGTTCAACAAAGGTAGAAATATGTCATACATAAAAACACTGTTTGTGAAGCACTTTGATCAGTGCTACTGATGCCAAGATTAATAAGACTCCTGCCTTCAAAGAGTTCATCTCTTTTTGGAGTAACAGACCCACAGTAGAACATTTCCTTGATAGTGAAGAAGTTAAATAATGTGATTGAGGCCTTCAGTCCTTGTCTTCTTATCTTCACCAGCACAAGTATGTCTCCATCGCAGATGTGCAGATCAAAAATGAAGAAGAACTAGAGAAATGCCCCATGTCTTTGGTGAGCCAAGGGGGTCCTGCACAGGAAGAGGGAAGAAGGGAGTCTGTCTTCAGTACTGTTACAGAGCATATATGCATGCATTGATTTAGCTTGTTGGTCTTTTACTGAGTGTCAGGCAAGACCAAGTCTCTGCTTCCATGCCATTTTAAAGTTTGGGAAGAAAGTAATGATCAGGGCTGGGGATATATAGCCCAGTGTGTATATAAGTAGAGTGCTTATCTAGTGTATAGAAGTCCCTGGATTTAATCTCCAGCACCACCAAAAAAAAAGAAGAATGGATAATACTAAGTAAATAAATGAGGCTATCAGAGAATGATAGATACAATAAAGAAAATTTAAATAGGATAACATGATAGAAGCATCTATAGTAGACTACTGTAATATACAGGTATATTTTGTAGCTTTTTTTTTTTTTTTTTTTTTTTTGGTGATGCTGGAATTGAACCCAGGGCCTTGTGTATGCAAAGCAAACCCTCTACCACCAGGCTACATCCTCAGCCCAGTAGACTACTTTAGGTTGGGGAGTCAGGGTAGGTAGAATAAAAGAATGCAGGCAGAGACTGGGCAGATCTGATGTTGAAAAGATGGTGTGTCTTTCTGTTTGCTTCTGTTTTCTTCATGAAGCATGGAGTAGGGTCAGCAGCCATTGAGAGATTATGGGCAAGGGGGTTTGAGGACAGGGAAGAAGTTAGGAAGTAGGCCTTTTGGGGAAGAGAAAGGCACACCTGCCAGGATTTCCAGGCTTTGTTGAATGCCCATTTAAGATTTATGTCCAGTAAGCCTCAGCTGAGTAATGTAGGATAGAAGGGGCCCAGTCACTCCACCCTGCTTCAGGGTCTCATGGCATTGATCCTTGCCCTGTAACAGAGGGGCCTTCATGGAGGAGGGACTGTATTTGCCAAAGATGACACTGAGGTCTAAGCAGCCTTTTGAGTATCTGCATCCCCTGCATCCCCATTCTGATAAAGACTAAGTTAGGGTCATCAAGAGGTCAGACATGCATGAAGGGCCTGGTCAGAAAGGAGAAAGTGATGTTGGTAAGACTAATGAAGAGGGAAAAATTAGTTTTCATCCACCTAAAAAGCATCCTTGTTTGTTTTCTGGCTCTCTGGCTATAGGTTACTTAACTCCCTTACTAATCCCTATTGAGCCACCTACCCCACCTTTCTGCCTCATAGAGCATTCTAGAGCTCTCCATTGATCTCAGAATGATACCATGGGAAGTGCCTCTGTGTGGGGTATCTTTTCCCAGGAATATCAACAGCCTAAGTTAAACCCATGTTTATCCAGAGTGGTTCTGTGTGCGTCCAGCAAAGTAGTAATTTGAGCCAACTCCTAGGTGGGAGTTTTGACTCTTGATCTGTCATGTGACATGGAAAGAAAAATTCTAGATAAGTTGAAAATAATGAGAAAACAAGATTCTTAGATTGTTTGGATGGGAAGAGGCCTCAGAAGGCATCCAGGCCAACCCACGGATCTGATTGAAGAGAAAACTAGGGCTCAGGGAGGAAAGGTCATTTATCCATGGTCATATAGCAAGTCATTAGCACAGCCAGGATAGCAACCTAGATCTGACTCCCACCTTGATGCTTTTTTCATTCTGCCTCTTATAACCAAGAAAATGTGGCCTTTGGTTATCCAGAAAGTGGCCTGGATAAACTGTGTTTCCTGCCATAGGGAGAAGAGGTGGTACCAGAAACACCATGTGAAATCCTTTACCAAGGCATGCTGTACAGCCTCCCCCAATACATGGTAAGGAGATGGCTGGGCCAGAACTGTCCTTCTCTGCTGCTAGAAAGAGACAGCTAAGAACCATTTCAGACTGAGCTGTCCATCGTTTGAATTTTTTCCTGAGGCTTTGCCCCACATACAGAGCATTCTCTAATTCATTAGAATTCTGAGCCTGTCTCAGAGCTCCTCTCCCTAGTCCTTCTTTGGGAGGAGTGGAGAATGAGATGGGTTCTGTATAGAATGCATTGAGGGGCCAACCTTCTAGGTAAGTATCAGAATCCTGAGATCTGCCACTATCTGTCATATCTTAGAGATCCTCAGGCTGGGAGTGGTGACAATGCTGATGTTTTTCAGGGTTAGAGAAGGAAAAAGAAAGGCAAAGTTGGGCTTATCCCTCTTCCATCTTATTTCTGTGTGTTGCCCCTCCCACTTTACTCCTTCCATTCTCCTCTTTGGAAAGAGAAATCTTGGAGCTAAATCGTATGTAAGCTCCCTTCTGGCTTCCTCCTTAGTCTTACAGGCAAACCTCAGGACTGGTCACCTCTGCACTTCTAAGGATGCTGGGGAGATTTGGTCATAGAAAGAAGAACTTAGAGAAATGCTTTGAAACACTTTTCATTGTGCTGGTGAGGGGTGGAAGAAATGTGACTTCTCCTTTTCCACTTCCCAGATTGCTCTGCTTAAGATTCTCCTGGCTGCAGCCCCAACCTCCAAGGCTAAGACAGACTCTATCAATATTTTGGCCGATGTCTTACCTGAGGAGATGCCGTGAGTACTCCCACTGGGGCAGTTGCTAGATATTATGTCTTGTCTGCAAGGCCTCTCTGTCCTACCCCACATTATTAATACAGGGATTGTCTTCAAATAGGTCTCTCCTTTCCCATCAGTATCCCCTTTTCCTGCAGGTCTTTCTACTGTGCTGTATTTAAAAACCCAGCACTGGGGGGTCTGACTTCAGTGCCAGTTATTGGCTGCCTGAGTATGTGGGTGGACATTGCTGAGAGATGAGTTTGCCAAAGAGAGAGATGGCAACAAAGAGATCAGTGGAGCTTTTCTCCAGACAAGTTTATAAGTGGGAACTCTGGGGGTTTTCCTAACATAGAAGTTCAGGTTTCCCAGGTTCTGGCTCTCTTGTGTATCATTGTATCTGACCCAAATTCCTGTGTCCTTATAGCCCTCCCTCCAACTGGGGCTACCTTCTACACTGACTTCTTTCTCCATTGTAGCATCACTGTTCTTCAGAGCATGAAACTAGGCATTGATGTAAATAGGCACAAGGAGATCATAGTAAAAAGTATTGCTGCCCTGCTCCTACTACTCCTCAAACACTTCAAACTCAACCATATCTATCAGGTGAGCATCTAGGAGCATTTCTCCACAGGACTTTGAGTGTTTTCCTGGCCCTGGTGGAGGACACAAGGGCCCTTATAGTCCCACTAAGCATCTTTTGACCTTTTCTTTTTCCTCATTGAGAGAACCCAGTTTTTGTTGTGTAAGCTTGGGATAAGGATATAGAGTGGGATGTGGGAAACTGCCCTAGAAAGATACAAATGTCGGTGTCCTTGGTAAGATAGCTCATGGTCATGGATAGGAATTCTTAGGAATATGCCCAGCCAGTTTTGAAACTATGTAAGTCAGAATTCAAATGTTCCACAAAAAGTGGGGGCAGTAAGTTGACTGTACTTTTCTGTATGTAAAGTAATTTGAGTTGTAATTCTGAATAAGGCACTGTTCTGATTCTTAAAGGCATTGAAGTCTTGTAAAGAATACAGATATAAATAGCCAGTTGTAGAGTGATAAGTACTGTGATGCAGGTAAGCATTGGCTGCTATGGAAACACCTAATCCAACTTGAGACAAAGAAGAGGTGACTTCTAACCTGAGTCCTGAAACAGATGTTAGTCAGTATATGGGAGTTGTCAGGGAAGGAGGACAGGAAGCAATTCAAGCAGAAAAGCTAATAGGTCCAGAGGGAAGAGAGAAAAGTTCTTGTAGAAACTGTAATTAAATGTTGCTGAAGTTCTGCCTGAAATAGGGGGAGATGAACACGGCCTGATGATACATGAACCATAGGAGTTGGCAGGGACAGATTGTAATAAGTAGATTGCACACAAATACTGGGTACCCATAATGTGCCTGGCACCCCTAAGCTTGTATAGGGCCTCACTTAATTCTCTCACCCCTATAAGGAAGGTCTTATTTTATTCCTGTTTTATGGGTGAAAAAAACCACAAAATTAAGAAAAGCTAAGACCCTGCTTCGTTTTCCCATGGAGGCATTGTTTGCCTTGCTAAGGAGTTTGGACTTGGTCCTGTGGGCATTACCAAGATTAGTGATAAGATGGGGGCTTCCCACCTGGGAGACTATAGGGAGGAGAGGAAGTTCATTCTTGCCCAGAGGCTTTTTCCATTTTCCTCCTAAGAAGTCAGAATCAAGCTTGCTGATAGAAGAGTAGGTCCTCGGAGTATAAGCAGGCCCCTGCAGACTTTATGACCATGGCCCTATATGCCTAAAACAGAGTATCCTTCCACTTTAGTACATTCATGACATCTTTGGGTGTGATACGGTGTTCTGGGTATTTAAACTTCTATTGATGTTTGCTGAGAAGCAACAGGGTTGGGAGGAATAAGAGTGGGTAAGAGATGGTATTCCCAGCAGAAAGAGAACAGAGAACTATGGATGTGTGTTTATGTCTGCTTCTTTTGGTGGGTGGTATGTAGATAAATAACTAGACTGGTGTGCAGCTTGATGGGCCTTGCCATTGTGTGTCAGTGTGGGTGAATCCTTACAGGGCCTGGACATAGCTCAACCTGAAAAAACTTTCTGCCCTTTGATAATGGATATGTGTTGGTTCCTCTGTCTGGGGCTTTGGAAAATACTCTGGGTCAGCTTTCAGGGAGAAAATATTGAGCAAAAGAGGGAAGTAGTTATGACACAAGCTTACTCCCCACTTCTGACCACATACACAGGGACAGAGAGCAGCTTGTTGCCATTTTGCTGATGAGGCAGAGCTAGGAGATTGAAAACACAACAGTTCTCAACCCAGTTTCTGTACTGTCCCAGGTTCTAGCTTCTTCATCTGTAGAGAAATTGTTTCTGATGCTCCTCGGTATATCATAAGCAAAACTCAGAGTGACTAGTCCCATAACACTGCTCTTTTGACCACTTTACCCCACTAGGTCTACTTGGACACAAACCCTATCTAAGTTCAAGAAAGGCAAATGGAGCCCCCATGTTCTATTGCTTATCCCATAAAAGACATCTTGGATTTCTCAGTGCAGTGTCTGTTGGCTGAAGGGCTGTTATTCATTCATTCATTAAAATTCTTAACTGATATTCTAAGTACTAGGGATAATGTAGTGTACCAGACAGACTGCAGCTGGAGCCACATTCCAGTGGTTCATTTGCTTACTATGTGCTGTCTCCATCCTGATGGAGTGATGCCAGCAGTTGCCAGGAGTAAGCTGCACCTGTCCATGCTATATCAATCACAGTTGAAATTATGAGCCAGAGGTTTGGTATGGAAAACAGCTCTCTTAGGGAGCCTTCTTTTCCTGTTGAGCTTAGGAACAAATCTCACAGCGATTCTATTTATTTGGAGTGTTTTTCGCTCTGGCTTGTTTACATTTTGCTTTTGGTCAGGAGCTTACAATGCATTGCAGGTTGTCCCTCTCCATGTAGGATGGGCTAGCAGAAGATAAATGTCATCATTTCATAGACAGGAAGACTGATAACACAAGTAGACAGTGGATATTCTTTTTTCTTTATCTGTCTTGATTTTGTTCTGTTTTGCTTTTGGTGCTGGGGGTTGAACCCAGGGCCTCACACATGCTGTACCACTGAGCTGTACCCCAACCCCAATATTCTTAGGAATGGATACTAACTGTGTACTTTTCTCTTTTTTCATACATACCTTCTATTTTCCCTGAAGTCAGTAGCTCTTTCTGCTTTGATCTTTTAATTCAGTTTGAATATGTATCACAACATTTGGTATTTGCCAACTGCATCCCTTTGATCCTGAAGTTCTTCAATCAAAACATCTTATCCTACATCACTGCCAAAAACAGGTATGGACTCTTGACAGGTTTATTTCAAGGAGCTATCTTGGGGTGGTTGAAAAAATCTATATCATCTCTGAACTGTTCAGTTCTCCTGGTGACCCTAGTCCCTCCTGTCTTGGAGCTGTCCCTGTTAAATTTAATTCCCCTGAAGTGTTAGCTGATGTATAGTTTGGCTTCTTATATTATAATAGTTCTGAAAACTATTGAATTATAGAAATGAAGCTGCAATGATGAAATTTCTGTAACGAAAGGACCTGTGGCAAAGACTCAGGAGATTTTTTTTTTCTTCACCACAACAAGCAGTCTGGCCATCTCTGATCTTTGTATAAATCATAAGTTGAAGCATCTGGGGCAATCATACTGCTTTGTAAACCATCAAGTGTTAAACAATAGGCCTTTATTTAGGTAGATCAATTTGTAGTTTTAAAAAAATAAGATATTTTCATATTCATTATTTCATTTAATCTCCTCAGCAGTGCTGAGAGATATTAAGTTTATTTCTCATTAGGAGCCAAATTCAGACAGGTTAACTGACTTAATCAAGACTACAATAATGCTTGTGAGTTCTTAAAGTAAGCATCAGAGGCAGGATCAAAACACAGGATTTTCTATGAATACAGATTGCCTTTTACCCCTTTAGTCAAGCTAGGATTGGGGAATTGCACCCTAAGTTTGCTACTTTCACGAGAATTGGAAGCATGTTAGTAGAATTTACCAGAATTCCTCTACTAGAGGCTAAATTCTAAAAGTAGAAGTAAAGGGGCTGCTGTCACACTTGGGGTGACTAATGAGGGAAGGACTAGGAGAGGTTGTCTCACTAGTCTGTCATACCACCTGAATTCCTTGAGAGGCAGTTCTTGTTTGTAGTTTAAAATGCACATACACCCTCCACCACAGAGCCTGAAACCATGAGACCTGGATTCCTGACCTGGATCTGCCATTTGCTAGCTATGTAATCTTAAGCAAAACACTTAGTTTCTCAGAGCCACATATTTGCATCTTTAAAATGAGAATACCTCCTCTAACTATATCATAGAGCTTTTTTCCCCCTTTTTTTCTTTTTGCAGTCCCAGAAATAAACCTAGAACTTCATACGTGCTAGGCAAGTGCTCCACCACTAAGCTACATCCCAGCCTCATAGAGCTTTTTTAAAGAAAATATTTTTAGCTGTATATGAACACAATATTTTTATTTTACTTTTTTTTAATGTAGTGCTGAGAATCAAACCTAGTGCTTCACACATACTAAGCAAGTGCTCTATCACTGAGCCATAACCCCAGCCCCTCAGAGAGCTTTAATAAGCATTAAGATTAGTGTATATGAAAGTGCTGCTTTAAATATTGTTGCTTTGGGGGAAAACACTGGAGAATGAGTTTTGTCCTAATTACATGGAGACCTCTGCACTGGTCTTTTTAAAAATGGTACTTAAGATATTCTTGTGGGTTACCAGGGAAAATGAAAGTGTAGATTGGGCTGTGTCAGTGCCACAAATGCATGAGGGCACCTATGTATATCAGTCAAAACTCTTGGTTATAAGTAATCCATTCCAACTAGACTAGACTCATGCATAATGAGGAATTTATTAGAAGGAAACAAGAGGTGTTATCTTGAGGAACCTAAGTCAGGGCTGGGGATGTGGCTCAGTGATAGAGCTCTTGCCTAGCAAGGCCCCAAGTTATATCCCAAGAACCACAAAAATATATTTTAAAATAAAAAAGGAACCTAAGGCAGGGATGGAGCTTTGGGGCTGTGGTTTGGTCTATAGTGTGGTGAGCCCAGGAAAACTTGTACCTCCATCTGTGGACATGAGGGCTATACTCCATTCAGACTCTCTCACTGATAGATTTGTCTATCTACTGCTCAGACCACTTGGTGATATATCCCCACATGAGCTGAACATGTCACAATGCCATCTCAGAGACTGAATGGACTTTCAATCCTTGTTCCAGATTGCCAGGGTTAGAGATCTAACTATGGCTGGGGAAGTATAGAACCTGAATGTCCCCTCCCCAAGTCCATGGGCCTGAAAAGAAGGGGCAGACAATCTACAAGGTATCCAATCAGGTTCTTTTATAGTTCAAAGAATGGTAGTCACAGCCTACAGCTTTTGCTTAGGTTATCCTGGACAAAATGGTCCTCTGGTGTAAAACCTATATGTTTTATTTTAAATGATCCCTAAGAACTTAGAACACCCACAGCTCATCATTGAACAGTTCTCTTATGGCTCTTTCACTCTAAATATTCTAGATGCTTGTTTGTAAGTTTCTTTGATATTCCCTTAGGCTAGAATTCTATTCAGTGAGAGATTAGAAATAAATTGCATCTTTGATTTCCTGCCCCCACTTCCTAATCACCAGCACCTATTCTGCCATGGGGCTTTGTCAGTGGAGCTGGTTAGACAGGTAAATGAATGTTTATCCTAATAGGACAATACAGAACTGGAAACTCTGGGAGAATCCAGAAGAGTGAATCAAGATGATGAGCTACATAACAGATAGATTCACTGCTCTTTTCCTCCCCTCTCCTACCTTGCCTCTCCTAGGTTATTTTGGCCTAGATTTTAAAGATAATGATAAATATTTCCAACCAAATAAGTTGTTTCCTTTTTTATATATGATTTGACCTTTGATGTGTGGAGGCAGGTCTAAGAAACCCCATATTTATATATTTTATCCCCTGCTTTGCCAACATCCTTTCTCATTTTGAACTGCACTTACTCAGATAGATTGGTGTTTAAAACCACCTTGAATATCAGATTGAGCATCAGAGCCAGATGCAGTGGCACACACGTGTAATCCCAGTGGCTCAGGAGGCTGAGGCAGGAGGATCAAAAGTTCAAGGCCAGTCTCAGCACTTACTCAGATAGATTGGTGTTTAAAACCACCTTGAATATCAGATTGAGCATCAGAGCCAGGTGCAGTGGCACACACGTGTAATCCCAGTGGCTCAGGAGGCTGAGGCAGGAGGATCAAAAGTTCAAGGCCAGTCTCAGCAATTTAATGAAGCCCTAAGTAACTTAAGTGAGACCCTCTCTCTAAATGAAATATAAATAGGGCTGGGGATGTGGCTAAGCACCCTTAGATTCAATCCCTAGTACCAGAGAGAGAGAGAGAAAACACACATCAGAGATAAGCTAACCCACATTCTGCATTATACCAGTGGAGGGAGAAAAGGAAAGAAATAGAACAGTCATTTGTTGAGTGACTATGCTTCTGTCATCATGTGGTAACTTATTTTCCTTCCTGCCTCATGCCCGCTTCCCAGGCTCACCAAAGAGCCTGTAGTTTTCTTGCAGTTCCCCACTGTTGATTTTAGGAACAGCTGCTCTTACCATTATTGATCTATTTGATTGGCCCTGCTGCAGGAAGCTGCCCTTGCCTCAATCTTCCTTTAGGAATGACGTCTATAGTCATTCTCTAGAGCTCCTGGCTTTCAGAAAGATCTGGTGAGAGACATTAGAGAAGTTTTCATTTCATCCTCACATCCTCAGATTGTTATTTAGCGAGATGGGTTTGGGCAGCGTCTCTGGGAGCAATTATATTCATGCATGCATTTAAATGCAGAGACACAAGTGCACTCAAGTTTACTTATTCCTTAAAGAAGCAAAGAGAGCTAAGAAAAGAGGCTCTCTTTCTGCTTTAACTATACATCTGCTAGATAGGGCTAGCCTAAAAGAATTCCTTGGTTATTCTCATGACTAAGGAGAGAAAACTGGAGGTGGGTTTCCAGTACCAGTGCCCTCAGTTCCACCTGAGGTCACTAAGCAATTTTGGAAATGGATGGAGCCTGGTGGAGAAAAATAACTCCTGCCCTTTTCAGATGTAGCCATTTCCTGCTGTTGCCATTTACCTAAATCCTGTCCTTATCTCTGTATCTTACAGCATCTCAGTCCTGGATTACCCCGGCTGTACCATCCAGGATTTGCCAGAGCTCACTACTGAAAGTCTGGTAAGCCTATGGGGATTTAGTAGCCTTTGAAATTTCCAGGTGGCAGAAGCTGGCATTTGCTCTTTCATTTCTTCTCCAGTCCCATAATGTCCTAGTTTGGGAGTCTCAGATCAATGAAGGCATATTGGCAAGTGTGTAGAGGCTGTAGGGGTTTAAGAGCTGCTGACCCAGTTGCGAATGATTTGGAAAAGCTGAGCTTAGCATGTTTTAGAGAAAAGAGTCAGTGAAAAACATTGAAGAGGAGAAGGAATTTAGAAAGATAATGGGACTGAAATTCAATGTGAACATCTATGCTAAATGGCAGAATTTCTACTGAGCACAATTATCTTCTTTCTGCTATAGCCCATTTGCTTCTCATTTTCATATTAGTTATAAAAAACAAGGCATGTACTTCAGAAAATACCTTGCCTCTCTGAGGCAAAAGTCAGTATAGCCATAGAAGGATATTCCAAAAAGTTCCTCATTCTGAAAAGAGCTCTAGGCTAATCAGAAAAGTTCCTCTGAGTTATTCTGAATTCCCTGCAACTGACTGACCAAAAAGTATAAAGATAAGTTGTCTACCTCATCATTTATTGCCACAGTTCTTTAGAATACTACAGTCCCTAACCTCATCCTATTGCATTATAATTACTTATCTGCAACTTTCTCAATTTGATGGTAAACTTCTTGATGGGGGGATAACACCATCTTTATTTTTATGTCCCTAGAATCTAGCACTATGTCTGGTACATTGAAGACTTCAATAAATGCTAAATGATTGAATGATGGTACCCATGGGTGCTACAACCCTTTTTTCCTCCAACTTTAATACCTGAAAAATGTTAAGTCAAACAAGTGTATTATGCAAAAATATATTTCTGTGGTACAGGTTTTATGACCCATAGGAGTTTTGCCTGGAGGGGACTTAAGAGCCACTGACCCAATTCCCTTATATTTCAAAGATGAGAAAACTGAGTTCCCAGTAGATGAAACTGTCTGCTCATAGAGTACACTCCTCACAGGTAACAGACCCCAAATTAGACCTGAGATTAAAGACCCTGAGGATACCAATCTAGCATATTTTTGCCACCAGGACAGAGATTCCCTGTCTTATTTAGATGTGGTCTCAGTAGCTAGAAAAACTGGAAACTTTTTACTCCTACATAGAAATAACAAATTGTCTAAACAGCTTATTTACATGATTATATTCAATCTTTAAAACAACTCTATGAGTTTGATATTACTATTTTGTAAATGGAGAACTAACTGCCAAGACATTACAGTGGGAAATAGCAGAGTCAGGATAAAGACATGCATCCCTGCCATTCATAGTTGAATGAAGGATACATTTTATACAAAAACAGTAGTACACAGTAGCATTAAAATTCTACTGTTAGTAGAATATTTCAGAACAAAAAGACACTTTTTCGCAAAGGGTTTGCCGCCAGAACACAGGTGTCGTGAAAACCACCGCTAAATCAAAGCCAAAATGGGAAAGGAAAAGACTCACATCAACATCGTTGTCATTGGACACGTAGATTCGGGCAAGTCTACCACTACTGGCCATCTGATCTACAAATGTGGTGGGATCGGCAAAAGAACCATTGAAAAATTTGAGAAGGAAGCTGCTGAGATGGGAAAGGGCTCCTTCAAGTATGCCTGGGTCTTGGATAAACTGAAAGCTGAACGTGAGCGTGGTATCACCATTGACATCTCCCTGTGGAAATTTGAAACCAGCAAGTATTATGTGACTATCATTGATGCCCCAGGACACAGAGACTTTATCAAAAACATGATTACAGGCACATCTCAGGCTGACTGTGCTGTCCTGATTGTTGCTGCTGGTGTTGGTGAATTTGAAGCTGGTATCTCCAAGAATGGGCAGACCCGTGAGCATGCCCTTCTGGCCTACACATTGGGTGTGAAACAATTAATCGTTGGTGCTAACAAAATGGATTCCACTGAGCCACCCTACAGTCGGAAGAGATATGAGGAAATCGTCAAGGAAGTCAGCACCTACATTAAGAAAATTGGCTACAACCCTGACACAGTAGCATTTGTGCCAATTTCTGGTTGGAATGGTGACAACATGTTGGAGCCAAGTGCTAATATGCCTTGGTTCAAGGGATGGAAAGTCACCCGTAAAGATGGCAGTGCCAGTGGAACCACATTGCTTGAAGCTTTAGATTGCATCCTGCCACCAACTCGTCCAACTGACAAGCCTTTGCGTCTGCCCCTCCAGGATGTCTACAAAATTGGTGGTATTGGTACTGTCCCTGTGGGCCGAGTGGAGACTGGTGTTCTCAAGCCTGGCATGGTGGTCACCTTTGCTCCAGTCAATGTCACAACTGAAGTAAAGTCTGTTGAAATGCACCATGAAGCTCTGAGTGAAGCTCTTCCTGGAGACAATGTGGGCTTCAATGTCAAGAACGTGTCTGTCAAAGATGTTCGAGGTGGCAATGTTGCTGGTGACAGCAAAAATGACCCACCAATGGAAGCAGCTGGTTTCACTGCTCAGGTGATTATCCTGAACCATCCAAGCCAAATCAGTGCTGGCTATGCTCCTATACTGGATTGTCACACAGCTCACATTGCTTGCAAGTTTGCCGAGCTGAAAGAAAAGATTGATCGCCGTTCTGGTAAGAAGCTGGAAGATGGCCCTAAATTCTTGAAATCTGGTGATGCTGCCATCGTTGACATGGTTCTAGGAAAGCCCATGTGTGTTGAGAGCTTCTCTGACTATCCTCCTCTGGGTCGTTTTGCTGTTCGTGATATGAGGCAGACAGTTGCTGTGGGTGTCATCAAAGCAGTGGACAAGAAGGCTGCTGGAGCTGGCAAGGTCACCAAGTCTGCCCAGAAAGCTCAGAAGGCTAAATGAATATTACCCCTAATACCTGCCACCCCAGTCTTAATCAGTAGTGGAAGAACGGTCTCAGAACTGTTTGTCTCAATTGGCCATTTAAGTTTAATAGTAAAAGACTGGTTAATGATAACAATGCATCGTAAAACCTTCAGAAGGAAAGGAAAATGTTTTGTGGACCATTTTGTTTTTTTGTGTGTGGCAGTTTTAAGTTATTAGTTTTTAAAATCAGTACTTTTTAATGGAAACAACTTGACCAAAAATCTGTCACAGAATTTTGAGACCCATTAAAACAAAGTTTAATGAGAAAAAAAAAAAAAGAACAAAAAGACAGTTTTTAGGCTTGAATTTTATTCTTTGATACCATTCCAACTGCGTTGATTCATATACAGAAATTGATGAGAACTATATTTTCACATCACTTGCAACTGACCTTTTGGAATATGAGCATAAAATTACCGAAATGATTATTATGCCTTCTGAAAGACTTTATTATTATCCAAGAGTAGGTGAAAGCGTGAAGCATGTATCCTTTTTTTTTTCCTAGCAGTATTAGGGATTGAACCCATAGGTGCTCTACCACTGAATTATATCCCTAGCCCTTTTAATTTGGGGGGGTGGATTGGGTACTGGAGACTGAACTCAGGGGCACTTGACCACTGAGCCACACCCCCAGCCCTATTTTGTATTTTATTTAGAGACAGGATCTTACTGAGTTGCTTAGGGCCTCGACATTGCTGAGGCTGGCTTTGAACTCGAGACCCTCCTGTCTTTGCTTCCCAAGCCGCTGGGATTACAGGTGTGCACCACCATACTCAGCTCCTAGCCCTTTTAATTTTTAATTTTGAGATGGGGTCTTCCTAAACTGCCCAAACTGGCCTCAAATTTCCAATCCTCCTACCTCAGCCTCCCAAGTAGCTAGGATTATAGGCCAGCATCACCACACCTGGCCATTGATCCTTCTTAATTAAGTAAAAAAAAAAAGTCATGCTAGTCCTTTCTGTGGAACAATAGTGGCACCTGGTGGTTTTGTTTAGTAACCACAGACTTTTTTCTTATTTTTTAAAAATTATTTTTATTAATTAATTTATTTATTTTAATTAGGTATATATGACAGCAGAAGGCATTTTGACTCACTGTACACAATTGCAGCACAACTTTTCATTTCTCTGTACACAACATAGCATTGCACCATATGTGCAGTCATACATGTACCTAGGGTAATGATGTCTATCTCATTCCACCATCTTTCCTGCTCTTTTTCTCTTGAATATACATTGCAAGTATATTCCCTGTGCCCAGTCATGGCCTTCCTTGATTAACAAGTTTACCCATATGGGATCTCATTATAATGATTTATTTAAACTGACAACTTCTGTACTCAGAAAAAACACTGATGTTTATAAGAGTAAAATTTTATCTCCTTCTAAGTCTTAACAAATTGAAAGCACAGAAAATGTACTGGCTATTTAAGTATAGGATTTATTTTAAATAATATCTCAAGCATATAGATACATTATTTTTTAAAAAATAAGGATTTTATATAGTTGTGTTTCACTTGTCATAGTAAAATTTGTGTTCACAATATGACTTTATTAAACATTTTTTTGGTGGTGCTTGTGATCAAACCCAGGGCTTCATGCATGCTAAGCAGGTTCTCTACAACTGAGCTATATACTTCAGCCCCCTTAAACATTCTTGAGAACACAATTATTAATTATACTCCACTACTTATTTTTTTTAAATACTGCTCTTTTACTATTGGACATTTATCTCAGTTTTCCCTATCTAACCTCAAACAAATATCCTTTCATATTTTTCTGATTATTTCCCTAAAAGAGACTCCTAGAAATAGAGTTACTGGGCTAAGGTAGTCTTGGTTCATATTTTTATGTTTTCTGAATTTTAATTGAATTCAATTCAGTTTCATTTGGAACTCCAGCTGCGTAGCATGGTGGACATGAAATAGTTAATGGCATATTATTTCTGAATTCTTTCCGTTCTGTCAAAAGGGTTAGCTTTAGAATACGTCATCCTCACCCATGTACTAAGCAGTTTCCCCTCCCACCTACTGTAGGAGGAATTAAGGTTTCTGGATCTCCATTGTCTGTATTCAAATTCTATAGGTAGGACAAAATTAAATTTCGATTCTAAACTTAAATGAAGGACGGTGAATATATGATTATGGGGAAGTTAGGTATGGCTGTAAAAGGCAGTGGATACAGCCCAGCCTGTCGGATGCTCAACATCTGGATGGTTGTTTAGAGCAGTGGCACATATTGATGTTTTGGGGGATAGTAGATCGTTTATATATATTAATGTCTTTTTTCTTTCTTTATATATACATTATAATGTAATGTTATTATAATGATGCATTTATAATGTATGAGCCAACATAGATATATGTGGGAGTACACAAAGATTATTTTATGGTAGGTATGTGCAATAACAATGTTTAAAGAACACTGCTTTAGAGTATTGTGAAATGTGGGCAAGTTTTCTTTGTGGGCCTATAAGACCTAAAGAGAAATCATGCAGCCAGGCATGGTGGTGCATGCCTGTAATCCCAGCAACTCAGTAGGCTGAATCAAGAGTACTACAAGATTGAGGCCAGTCTCCGCAATTTAGTGAGGCCCTAAGCAACTTAGTGAGATCAGAAAAATATGAAAGGATATTTGTTTGAGGTTAGATGGGAAAAACTGAGATAAATGTCCAATAGTAAAAGAGAAGTATTTAAAAAAAATAAGTAGTGGAGTATAAAAAGGGTTGGGGTTGTAGCTCAGCCATCCTCCCGCCTTAGCCTACTGAGTAACTGAGATCATAAGCATGTACTACCACACCTGGTTTCATTCTTCTCCTTTCTAACAGATTTGGGCAAAGAAAATGTGAAAAAGTTTTTGTGAATCTATTGTCACTGCTACAAAGCTGACCTGAAGTTCCAAATGATTATTCCCTCCCATGCTATAGAATGTCATTTAATAATATCAGTATGACATACACAGGAGGACATGTTTTGAACAGTGTGGGTATTCAGGCTGTCCACATGTAGATTCAGGAGAAGGAATGAGGAAAAGGTAGTATTTATGGAATCATGCAGTACCAGAGTTAGAAGTGTCTTGGTCCCTATCTTGCCCAATGCCACCCTTTAGTGATGAGGAAACAGAGTGGTGAAACAGAGTGGGCTACATAGAGTCAGTCAACAGTGGAGCAGAAATTGCATGACTAGCCATTTGCAAAGAAATATTTGACATTTCCTTTCAGATCTAAGCAAGTGAAATTATTAAGTTAATTTCAAAAACGTAGGTCATCAAAATTGCTCAAATTTGGATTTAATATCTTTTCAGAAAAACTTATAGAAATATGTTCACATCACTTAAAATTATATACTGAATCCTTTCATCAACCTTATTGAATTTAGTTTTTATAACTTCCTAATCCAGATATTTCCAGACACCTCAGATTTCTGTTGTTTTGGTTTTCTTTTCTTTTTTTAAATATTTTTTAGTTTTTTATAATTGGATACAATACTTTTATTTTATTTATTTATTTTTATGTGGTGCTGAGGATTGAACCCAATGCCTCACATGTGCTAGGTGAGCCCTCTACCGCTGAGCCACAACCCCAGCCCCTGTTTTGGTTTTCTTTTTGGAATGTAATCATTATGTTCAAACACTAAGTTCTATAACATTCCTTTAAAGCATTATTAACCAATGATTTATGACCTTGATTTAAAATAAAATCTTTATTCTACTATTCACCATCACTATTTAAAACCAATGATACCTTAAGCATTATTGTTTTTCTATCACAGATAAAAATATATCATATTTCACACTCAGAGCCTTGCTATAAAAGTTCAGTCTGATCATAGGCTGACTGAACTCAAGTCTGATGTTACACTTTTTAAGCAGGAAACCTGGTTTTTGTTATTAGTTTTTGTGGGGGTTTTTGAGGAGATTAGAATTATCCACATAATTTTTTTGTTTTGTTTTGTTTTTGCAGTGCTGCAAATAAAACCCAGAACTTCACACATACTATATTTGATATATACCACAAAGTATATATCAATTTCCATGAATTATTTATACAGAGAAAGAACCATGGATTAAAAGAAAATTTAGCATTTTATCAATTTTCCTGTTGGTCACTATTTCTATAATGGATTCTTGAGGAGATTAGAATCTCTGGGGGGATTTTCCAAACTCATATGCATACATCCCTTCCAAGGCACATGTATTCACTAAAGTACCCAGAAGGATCTTGAAATTTTCTTCTTTCTTAACTATTAACTCCACTTGAGAACCATTACTCTCTTTTATGATACCTAGATCTAGGTCCTTAAATCTAGCCATAACCTGTCAGAAACCCATATGATAAGGGAATTATTCTATAATGATGTGGGAAAAGAAAATCTAAAATAAAAAATATGACTTTGTTTTCAGTTATATGAGCCATAATAAAGAAATTGATCAAAGAATCATTTGCTGAGAAAAGCTATTGTGAATTTGCAGTCATTGAATATTAAATCTAGCAATTTTTTTGTAATAGTTTCAAATAAATGCAAGGATGGACAGACATGATAACCTGAAGCACAAAACAAAGAATTAGTAGCTGGAAATATATAAAAGACAGATAGATCTGTTTTTGCCAAGAAGGGATCTTGAGCAGGTTTCTATAGACTATAGGATTTTCATCAGTTAAAGGGGAGGGATTGGGTCATTAGATGAACATTTGACTTTCCTATAGCTATAAAATTCTCCTACATTCATTAGAAAACAAATTAATATCAATAACTTTGATTTCTCAATGCAGAGCTGGTTTGTAATTAGAAAGTAAGAATCATCACTTACAGACTTCAATAAGCTATTGAGGAGTTTCAGATATATTGGATTTCACAGTCAGAGCCCTGCTTTAAAAGTTCAGTCTGATCATAGGCTGACTGAACTCAAGTCTGATGTTACTCTTTTTAAGCAGGAAACCTTACTGTTTTTTGTTATTAGTTTTTGTGGGGTTTTTTGAGGAGATTAGAATTATCCACATAATTGTTTTTTTGCAGTGCTGCAGATTGAACCCAGAACTTCACACATACTAGGCAAGTACTCTATCAGTGAGCTACACCCAGCTCTTGTTGTTTTTCATTGTCACAGTTATCTTCTGCTGGAATTGTAGCAGGATATCAGAAGGGGTTTCTCTACCCTCGGGTCTTCAGGAAGCGCAGAAAGCAATGTAACTAGAAGTTGAACAGAAAACAGTCTTCAGATTCAATAGAGATTAGGCACTTATGGTTGAGCACTCATGTGTGACCTTGTACAAGCCCCTTCTCTCTTGGCCTTAGTGTTTGCTTCTATGGATGACAGAATTGGACTAGAATAGCTAGATTTTGACCAAACTGATTCCCTCAGTCCAAAAAGAAGAAAACATTCTGTTCTTGGTGATCTCTCTTACTTATCCACATAATTGGTGTTGCCTGGGTTTTTATTTGGCTTGGCTCACTCAGCTAGGAGCTTTCAGAACAGAACCCTGGTAGTGCATCTTGGAGATCTTCTGATAGGGTAGGATGTGATGTCCCTGAAATGAATCCTTAGACTCAAGGTATATTACCAAACAAATAACTTATTTGTGATTGTGGAACATAGGTAAACGTTTTTGTTTTGGGGGCTGGGGATCAAAGCTAGGGGCTCTCTACCACTGAATTATATCCCCAACTCTTTTTATTTTTTGAGACAGGATCTTGCTAAGTTGCTGAGGCTGTTCTCAAACCTGTGATCTTCCTACCTCCTGATTAGCTGGGATTATGTGCCACCAAGCCCAGCTTCTCCTGGGACTAGTTCTAAGCACAATACTGAACATTTATTATAGGAAGAATATTATTTCTAAATACTATTTATAAAGTTTTTGAGAAACTTTTTGACTCTCAATATTAGGAATTAGGAAAGACTAATACCCTCAAAACTCTTGGATGTTCATTCTACATTAGATGTATGCCTGTCTTGCTGGCATCAAATTAATCTAGGGGAGGAGGAGGTAATTTTCTGGTTGCCAGACAATAGCCCACTTCTACATATACCTCCCTACTCTTGCATTCTCCTGTCACATTGTAGACTTGAGGAATTTCCAAGATTTTGGTTTGGCCATTGTGCATGCAGGGGACCAGACCCAGGGTTTTGCACATAATAGGCAAGTGCCCTACCACTGAGCAATACCCCCATCCCAGCTGAGTAGGTTTCCAAGTGAAGGATATTATGTGCTCTGAGATCTTAAGTGTGTAAAGAGCATGAAGATAAGGAGGTAGCATTCCATATTGGAAACCCTAACCTAAACTGATCAACAGTGATTTGCAGGCTTCTGAGGGTATTACAAACCTTGTGTTGAGAAAATGATGGATGTTCTTTATTTCAGGAAGCTGGAGACAACAACCAGTTCTGCTGGAGAAATCTCTTTTCTTGCATCAACCTCCTGAGGCTGCTCAATAAACTGACCAAATGGAAACATTCCAGGACCATGGTGAGTGGGGCTTTAGATCACAGAAGTATCTGACTGAATTTTTTAATCATTAATAAGTATTATGCACAACGTGCTTTATGAGATCTTAGACACTGGATGCTACATAAGTTTCATCACCTCCTAATTCTGGGTGCTTATTCGAAATAAAACGATTGTTCACCGGGGAACTGAATATGGACATTCCTTTAGGGTTGGTAGTTCACACATTCCAAATGACACAAGTGTAACATTACTCATTAAGGCATTGCAGGTAATAACCAAAGATTGGAAATATTACTGGCTCTTTGGGTATTTGTGATCTTTATCAGAAGAATCAAATAAAGGAACATTAGCCCTGGAACAAGGCTTTGTATTCTCATGTTCAAGCAGAAGGAAAGTAGCATGTGGGAGACACAAATCCCAGGCTAACCTCCAACAAAGGAAAAAGATCTATAGGGTAGGCAGGGACCCAGTCTCTCAATGTCATGTCTTATTCCCACCTTAAGTCTTCACTAAAGTGTGAGTTTTACTATGCAAATAAAGCAAAGGCAACATATGTTACTTTAGTGGCTATTTAACACATGCATTTGTCTCTTACCTCCTGGAATTTTTTCTTATCACCTGGGAAAGTTTCTAATTGGTTTTTGGAGCAGGACAGATCATTTACCAGCCTCAGTGGATTTGATTTTAAACATCTTGTTTTTCTTCACTCTGTTTTTGGTACATCTGCCAACCATATAGTTGGCTGAGGTGACTTTCCAACCTCCTGTCTCCTGGTGTGTTAGCTTAATTTTATAGCATTAAAGACTGGTCTGTTTTTTAACTCCCAATATTGTGTTATGTTTGTTAACCCCCTACAACTACAAAGCTAACTTAGCTGTCTCAGAAACAATCTAAATGCCCATTAACGTAGGACTGAAATGATGGTAAGTCTTTATATAACCATTAAAAAGAATGAGGCAGTGTTATACTGGTATGGAATAATTTTTAGGTTATTTTGTAAAATAAAAACAAAGATATGGAACAGTATAATAGGATACTGTTGATAGTTGCCTCTCATTAGTATTAGAAAAACAAAAGTATACTTAGAATTATCTTCAGGATATATACAAAAAACTGGTAACAGTGGAAATGGGATTTATGGCAGACAAAATTTCTTTTGCCATGCCCCTTGAATATTAGAAACTTTAGAATGATTTCTCTGTATTCTTTTTTAAATATTTTTATTGGTTCTAATTAGTTATACATGACAGTAGAATGCATTTTTAGAGAGAGAGAGAGAGAGAATTTTTTAATATTTATTTTATAGTTTTTGGTGGACACAACATCTTTATTTTTATGTGGTGCTGAGGATCAAACTCAGTGGCCCACGCATGCCAGGTGAGCACGCTACCTCTTGACCATATCCCCAGCCCCATAGAATGCATTTTTGACCCGTCATACATAAATGGAGTATAACTTCTCATTTGTCTTATTGTACATGATGTAGAATTACACAGGTCATGTAATCATACATGTACATAAGGAAATAATGTCCAGTTCATTCCACTATCATCCCTACCTCTGTGCCCCCTCCCCTCCCCTCAATCCCCTCTCTCTAGTCCAGAATACCTCTATTCTCCTCACCCACTTATTGTGAATTAGCATCCACCAATCAGAGAGAATATTAGGCCTTTGGTTCTTTAGGATTGACTTATTTTTCTTAGCATAATATTCTCCAGTTCCATCCATTTACCTGCAAATGCCATAATTTCATTCTTCTTTAAGGTTGAGTAATATTCCATTGTGTATATATACCACAGTTTCTTTCATCTGTTGAAGGGCACCTGGCTTGGTTCCATAGTTTAGTTATTGTGAATTGAGCTGCTATAAACATTGATGTGGCGTGTCACTATAGTATGCTGATTTTGAGTCCTTTGGGTATACCAAGGAGTGGGATGACTGGGTCAAATGGTGGTTCCATTCCAAGTTTTCTTGGGTGATTCCTGTATATTCATTTTTTTTTAAGAGACACATTCTTTATATATATAAAATATATAATGTGTGTGTGTATATATATATATGTGTGTGTGTGTGTGTGTGTGTGTGTGTGTGTATACCTTTATTTTTTTAATATGGTGCTGGAGATAGAACCCAGTACCTCATTCATGCTAGGCAAGCACTCTGAGCCACAAGCCCTCGATATTCTTTTTTTTTTTTTTTTAGTTGTAGTTGGACAAAATACCTTTATTTTATTTATTTGTTTCTACGTGGTGTTGAGGATCAAACCCAGGGCCTCGCATGTGGTAGGCGAATGCTCTACCGCTGAGCTATAACCCCAGCCCCAAGCTCTCTATATTCTTGAAGACTAAATCTAAGTAGGATCTAGACCTTATATTCCCAATAGCTCCCCAAGGCTTTCTTAGGTTTAATTTGTCAGTTGGAAATTCCAAGAAACTTTGTATCTTTATAAAGTTCATATCTTTTTCCTTTATATCTTTATTTCTTTTTCTTTACCCCCACCGCCTTTCATTGGACAGATGCTGGTGGTGTTTAAATCAGCACCAATCTTAAAACGGGCCCTCAAAGTCAAACAGGCCATGCTGCAACTTTATGTCTTGAAGCTGCTAAAGATACAGACCAAGTACCTGGGGCGCCAGTGGAGGAAAAGCAACATGAAAACCATGTCAGCCATTTACCAGAAAGTGCGCCACCGCATGAACGATGACTGGGCTTATGGGAATGGTGAGTATTCTCAAAGCTGTTGACTTCCAGGAGATGCCCAGGATTTAAACAAAATTAAATAAACATTTGTCTCTACTCTTTTGGCATGAATTGTTACATATTTTAGATGAGAAATATGTGTTACATATTTTAGATGAGAAAATAGGTCAGAGGCTGATACACCAAACTTTTTAATGCCCTACTATGAAAACCTATTTGATAAAAGAAGTAAATTGATATTTCAGAAAAGCTAGAAGAGAGTTAGGGCTGTAGCTCAGTGGTAGGGCACTTGCTTAGCATATATAAGGCCCAAGGTTCAATCCCCAATACTGCAAAAAAAAATAAGAAAAAAGGAAAAAAGATAAAAGAAGGAAGGAAAGAGAGAAAAAAGGACAAAGAATATTGAATATTTTTACCACAAAGAAATGAAAAATGTTTGAGGAGATATACCTACCTTGATCTGAAAATTATACAACATGTACATGTATTGAACTAACATATGGTATGATAAGTAGCTTATTATAAAGTATATGTATCTTTTTTCCAATTTTTATATATCTATTTGGGGGAAAAAAGCAAGTAAATTGAGAGAAACACTCCTTTCCAAAACATTCCTTTCAATGATCTTTTCTTCAAAAGATTTTTTTAAATTTAATTTTTTTTTCAGTACTGGGAAATGAACTCAGGATGCTACCCCACCCAGCTACATCCCCAGCCCTTTTTATTTTTTATTTTGAGACAGGGTCTTACTTAGTTGTGGAGTCAAGGCTGGCCTTGAACTTGTAATCTTCCTGCCTGAGCTTCCCAAGTAGCTGGGATTACAGGCATACACTACCACACCTGGCTTATGACATTTTTTTTTATTATTACAAAGCAGTTAGAAAAAAAGATAAAATACAATAAAACATTTTACTACACCGTTGAATATACATCATATTTGTACCACAATAGGTTGCCATCGTTGACATTGTATGTTCTTCCAGATCCTTTTCTATGTATATTTCATTAAAAAGAAAGTAAATAGTATATACTTCTTTATAATCTCTTTTTAGTTAACATTACCTCTCTTTTTAAAAATTTTATTTATTTGTTTGTTTTATGTGGGTGCTGAGGATCAGACCCAATGCCTTATATGTGTTAGGCAAGCTACAACCCCAGCCCCAACTCTATCTTTTCATACCAATATATTTTCTTTTTTTTCCAATAATCAAGTCCATATTCATAATTCTTACATTGTCCCAAAGTGTTCTTTTTAATTATATATATAAATATTATATATATATCTATATATTTTTTAGTTGTAGATGGACAGAATACCTTTATTAGTATTTTTCTATGTGGTGCTGAGGATCAAACCTAGTGCCTCACACATGCTAGGCAAGTGCTGTATCACTGAGCCACAACCCAGCCCCGCAAAGTGTTCTTTTTTTTTTTTCTTTTATAAAAATTTTAACATGGTCCATGTAAATACTCAATAGTCAGAATCACCCGCAAGGTGTTCTTTATCGCTATTTTTCCCAAGTCAGAATCCTATTCACAATCTCAAATTGCATCAGGCTATTATATATGTTAATTCATTTTGAATATAGCAGTCTTCTTTCCTCCATAACATTAACTAGACCAATTGTCTTGAAGTACCATTTACCTTATTTCTTTATCCATGTTATTACCTATATGCTGAAAGTTAGATCTTAAGGTTTGGTAAATTCAATTTAAACTTGTTTGGCTATCATACCTCCTAGCCAATGTTGGAAACTAACATATAGACTGATATCAGGAGGCATAATATCTGGTTGAGCAATCAGAACTTATACTAAGATTGAATGGAGTTTGGAAAAATGTTATATGGGAAAGTTTTTTCCCCCCATGGTATTGCATTTGGTGTAGTGGGATATAACCATTATTTCCATAATTGTATTTAAGAGTTTTTATACCAGGCACAGTTTTGCACATCTATAATCCCAGATACTCTGTAGGATAAGGCAGGAAGTTTACAAGTTCAATGCCACCCTGTCTCAAAATAAAAATAAAAGGGGGCTCAGTGGTAAAGCACTCCTGAGTTCACATCACAATACAACACACACCAAAAAAAAAAAAAAAAACTTTAGTAAGGTGATGAATAACTTATTTTTTCTGGAATTTGCAAGCTGCTTAAATTTTAGAGGTTGCTGCAATAAAGAACTCAGAGAACTAAGGGAAGCATTTAGGTATATATTGCTGGTATATAACAAGCCAGCATGTAACTTCTACTGTAAGACATAAAGTGCAATTTGCTATATAAGTTCTTATGCATTTTTTTAATATTTATTTTTTAGGTGTAGATGGACACAACACAATGCCTTTATTTTTATATGGTGCTGAGGATCGAACCCGGGTCCCACCCATGCTAGGCGAGCGCTCTACCACTGAGCCACAATCCCAGCCCTTCTTATGCATTTTTAAAGCATAAAATTTTAAAATATTTTTTAGTTGTAGATGAACACAATATCTTTATTTTTATGTGGTGCTGAGGATTGAACCTAGTGCTTCACCTATACCAGACAAGTACTCTACCACTGAGCTAAAACCCCAGCCCAAAGCATAAAAATGTTTTATCCTGAAAATGACATACCTCTGGTTGCTGCCCTTATGAACTCAAACACAAACTTTTTATCACTTTTTATGATAAATCATTGAATAGGCTGTTTGGAGTAGTAGTGCACACCTGTAATCTGAGAGAATCCAATTTTGAGGCCAGCTTCAGCAATATAGTGAGATCCTGTCCCAAAATAAAAACTAAAAAGAGCTGGGGATATAACTCAGTGTGAAGTACCTCTGGGTTCAATACCCATTAATTGGAAAGACAAAAAATAGCTACTGAATGTAGTACATAAGAAATTTGTGAAATTTCTATCTCTAGCTCTGAAAAATGAAAGCAAAACAGATTATGTTTTCTGCTTTTACTTCCATGACCAATTTGTCATGTGCTAGGGGAGATTTCAAGGAATTGAGAAAGTCTTAATAATTGGTCCATTCATTTTTATTTATTTATTTTTTTGTGGGGAGCCAGGTGATGCTGAGGATTGAACCCAGGGTTCAGGCCAAGAATGTGCTCTACCACTGAGCTACACCCCCAGCCCATTCTCATTCTCCATGTCCACTCCTCTTGTTCTTTCTCTTGAGAGCTGATGACTGCATTCAAATAGAAAACTCTTATTCCTTACCCTAGGGAAAGCTCAATAATGGATATTTAATTATCTTTTTGGAAAACATAGTATATAACTAACTAGTAAGAAAGGAGAATAAAGAGGGACTGGAGTTGTGGCTCAGAGGTAGAGCGCTTGCCTAACACGTGCAGGGCCCTAGGTTTGATCCTCAGTAGCACATAAAAATAAATGAAATAAAGGCATTGTGTCCAAATACAACTAAAAATATTTTTTTAAAGAAAGTAGGATAAAGAAAAGGAAATATAAGCCAGGTTGCTAATCTCAACTACTTGGGAGACTGAGGCAGGAGGATTGCAAGTTTGAGAACCCAGCAATTTAGCAAGACCTATCTTGAAATAAAATTCTTAAAAAGGGCTAGAGACGTTGCTCAGTATCAGAGCCCTTATCTAGTATGCCTCCTTGTTTTCTTTTTCAGAGGTAACTACTGTACACAATTTCGAGACCACCCTTCCAAAATAGTTTGTTTATACAAACTTATGTTGGAGGGCATATGTGTATCTTCTAAACCTAAATGTCAGCATGCTATATATTTAATTTGTACATTGTTCCTTATAAAAGAGTTCTGAGCAGTTTCACTGATGGAATCCCGTAGACCATGCTCTATAGAAGAGAAGTGGTGTCTTGGTGGTATACTTCTTTTTATTCCTTTCTTCTCAATGCAGACATTGATGCCAGGCCATGGGACTTCCAAGCAGAAGAATGCACCTTGAGAGCCAACATCGAGGCTTTTAACAGCCGCCGATATGACAAACCCCAGGACTCTGAATTTTCACCTGTCGATAACTGCTTGCAGAGTGTTCTGGGGCAGAGGTTGGATCTTCCAGAAGATTTCTACTATTCCTATGAGCTGTGGCTGGAGAGAGAGGTGTTTTCACAGCCCATCTGTTGGGAGGAACTGCTCCAGAATCACTGACTGAGCTCTTATCGACAAAGCATCTGATAGATGGAGGTTGACTCCAAATAAATGTTGCTCTGCCCATTTAGCCTTTGTTTCCGGCTCTAGGATGCATGACAAGGGAGCATCTGGCCCATACCTGAGGCAGCCAGCATAGTTCAGGGCTATCCTGGAGGAAGTTTGGCCTGGAGATGGCTCCTGAGTCACAACAACCTGATCTGCTCACCCTAACATCAGCCTTGGAAATCTCTTGGTGGATTTTTGATGAGACCTGCTTTAGTCTTGCCTAGAACCAGGCTAACCTTTGCTGGCCCTAAGAGTGAGAGGAAATTTGTTATGGTATTTGATCCATGGCATTTATCATAGGTAGTGGAACAGGTGCAAGTCACAAATAAGAAGAAAGTGCTGGGTGCAGTAGCACATGCCTGAAATCCCAGCTGCTCAGAAGACTGAAGCAGGAGGAATGCTTGGACAATTTAGTGAAACCCTGTCTCAAATTTTTAAAAAAGGGCTAGGGGTATAGCTCAGTGGTAGAGCCTTGCCTAGCAAGCACAAACTCTGGGTTCAATTCCTGGTACCATTAACAAAAAAAAAAAAAAAAAAAAAAGCTAGGTGAAACCAACTTTAAGACTGCATTTTACATTTAAAATTTTGACACTTCTTTCTAAAATCATTAGTTCTAAGATGATTTTAGAGCACCTGCACCTTTTTGTGAAGGATGATGATTTACTATTCCCTAAACATTGCATGTTATAAAAGAGTGTATTGTGTAGAGTGGTTCCTTTATTTTCTAAGAGAGCTATGTTCAATGTGAAAATTATTTCCTTGTATACTCTGTATGGGGCATGGAGTGCTTTGCCATTTGTAAACAGCCATAGTCAATATGAAATGATCAGGCCTTCTTTAAGGATGTTTCATGTTTTTCTGAAATTACTTAGTATTTAAATGGTTGAGTACACTGCAGAAAATTATCCTTTTCATTTAATTCATTTTTAAAATGACAAGTTAACCACAGGAGGTTTTATTTATTGAGATGGCATGTCCATTTGTGTTGATTAATTTATTTTTTTAATTGAAAAGAACAGCAAGAGAATCACAGCTTACTATTTTTTCTTCTGAAATGTTGATTGATTTATTTTCTTTTTACTGCTAGCAAAGTGTCCTGTGGAGATTTAGCAATGCTGTTTCTACCTAAAAGTTGCACATTTCATAGAAAATAAAAGGGCTGATATATCAACCTTTTTATATTTCATTCTTTTTGCAGCAGAACTGCATACTTTCCAAAAGAAACAAGGTTTTTAGAAAGGTTCCTAATTCAGTCATGATCATTTTTTCTTGTGTTCCCCAGTTATGTCATCTATATCTTCTAGCTTTTTCACTTTAAATTCCACCCTTCCAACAGACACTACTGATTCTTTTTATGATGTCATCAGGACACTATGCCAAGAGGTCTTGTCTAAATTGGCTTTGTCAACTATCTGGAGGTTATGATAGGGTACCTGATAATATCCAAAGGAACTATACTAGAATCTAATAAGTACCTCTTTTTCCTTTAGGATAGCAGGATTTTTGTCTTTATGGAAAAGTCATGAAGAATTTAAGTATATAGTGGATGACACTTATTTAAATATTTAAAAAAAATTTTACCTAAGTAGGACACCTGTCCTCATTGCAATAAAATAATTTAATGAGTAATATCTTCTGTAAATTATATTAATCTGGGGTCTAGCTAGTATGATTTTAATATTATTTGAGTGAAAAGATAATTTTCAAGGAAAGAGCAATCATCAATCTATTTCTTTTAAAGCCATGTAATACTCAATTTGTGTCAAGAACAAATTAGTTGCCCTTTAAAATATGCACATGGGTGCTTTCTGAGGCACAGGAGTATGCCAAGCTTTAACATTTCATACTTGATAATTCTTCTCTAAGGGAAGATTAATTCTCAATGCAGATAGAGAAATTGAAGTACCAATGATAAATAACTGACTTTAAATCACATCATTTTTTTTTCCTACTGATTTGCTGGCACTAGCTTTCAGGTATTAATATCCAGCCCCATATCTAAGGTAACAAATCTGAATCTCTCAATTTGAGAATCTGTGTGTGTGGTTAGGAATAAATTCCAAATAACCACCCTCTAATGGTGATTACTGTTTCTACATAGAACACTATTTGAGTGATTTATAAAGTAGAGTAGTTTTTTGTTTGTGTTGATTGTTGAAAATACTGTTTATCTTGTTAAGCACTATAATAAAAAGAAAAATAAGCTTGAATTAGAAAGTTGGTCTTTAAAGTCTTCAACATAAATGGAATAGTAAATTCAAATTAATAGGATTTAATAGCAGGTTAATATATAACTCCAAATATCAATGACTTATGACAAATATTTATTTCTACATCATGGATTGGGGGGTCAGCCACAGCTCGGTTGACTCAGCCTGGTTTGCTAGATTAACTCATTTCCATAAATCTTCTTATTCTACTAGTAGGCTAATGGACTATCCCCTACCTAGTACATACTGTTTCACAATGAAGGTCAAGAGCAAGAAACAAACCATACCATACAAGCACATTTAAAGTTCCTACCTAGACATAGCATAAGTCAAATTGTTCATATTCCATTGACCAAACGCAACTCAATGAGGACAACCCCAACATTAGACCAGAGAAGTATACTGTACCCTCAAGTGACAAGGGTGGGGCACTATCTTTTACAGTCATGGTCATGAATATCTGCTCCTATCCTATAGACAAAATATACCCAATCCTTCCCTAAGGAAGACTCCAAAAGTCTTAATATTTATTTATATTATTATTTATAATATTATTTAAAACCTAAAGTCCAGGCTCTCATCAGATCTAGATACAGTGCCTCTTGATCCTGAAACTTGTAAGTTTAAAAAGAGCAGAAAAATCACAGTGATCATTTCAAATGTATACATAAACCAAACATCAAGTAGTACATCTTTTTTTAATATTTATTTTTTAGTTTTAGATGGACACAATATCTTTTACATTTATGTGGTTCTGAAGATTGAACCCAGTGTCTCATGCATGCTAGGAGAGCACTCTACCACTGAGCCACAACCCCAGCCCAAGTAGTACAACTTAAACATACAATTTTTGTGTGAGTAACTCAATAGAGCTATTTTTAAGTAAATAAAGATAAATAAAAACAAGTAATTTGCTTCACCTCCTCCCATACATATTTACATCTAAGAGAGAGAAGATAGTCCTAATAAACATTTCTCCTCTAAGGGGAAAAATGAGAGGCACACAGCAATTACTGACCCATAGCAATTCTGAAATCCTACTGGGGAAATGTAGGGTCTTCTTAACCTGAGGAAGGAAAACTCTTCACTCTGCTCTGTAGATGTAGCTCCCTACCCTTCATTGTTCTCTGGGGTTAGGTAAGGTCTTCCTTATATCCTTGACCACATCTGAAAAAGTACTGGAGAAAACTCCCACTGAGTTCTTGGTATCTGAACAGATTTCATAGCTTCCAGCTTAAGGAATGTTGGGCCCAAAAATAATTTTATATTTAAATAGCCATTGTCCTTAGTTGGACCAGTACTTAGTAATTTAACTTTCAAGAGCTTTTAAAAATCTGTTTCATCCAGATGTGCTAAGGCACATACTTATAATCCCAGGCTGAGGCCAGAGGATCACAAGTTCAAACTAAAAAGAGCTTAGGATGTAGCTTAGTGATAGAACACCCCTAGGGTCAATCACTAGTACTACAATCAATCAATAATAAAATTTTTTTAAAAATCGAATTCCAGTCTGTTTGCCAATACTCTTTTATATATAGCTACTGTCATGTGTAACTAATTAAAACAAATAAATAAAAAATATATATATGGCATAGAGTGCTTTGCCATTTGTAAACAGCTATAGTCAATATGAAATTATATAATTTTTATATATTTATATATATATATTTTATATATATATATATATATATATATATATATATATATTAGTTGTAGGTGAACAAAATACCTTTATTTTATTTTTATGTGCTGCTGAGGATTGAACCCAGTGCCTCACGTGTGCTAGGCAAGTACTCTACCACCAAGCTACAACCCCATTCCCTGCCAATACACTTTTATTCCTCTGTAGACTTGGTTGCAGGTACATTTTATTTATCAGGCTTCTGTAGAGCCTTTAGTCACTTTTCCTTGAGTTTTTTTGTCTATTTAAAAGAGTTTACTGAGGTCCACATAATCAAATCAGAGATCTTACTAGAAGGCCTGAACATCACACCCTCAATTCAGCATTGTCTTAAATAGCCTTTTTGATTCAGGCATTTTAAAATTTTCTCATAAGTTGAACGAAAACAGTTGCAACTTTCAATCTTATAAGTCTTGAAATTTGTTTTATATTCTTTTCCCTACAATACTAGCTTGAAAATAAGCCAATTTTATGAGCATCCCTTGCTTGTAGTATTTTAACAAATGCAGCTAAAACTAACCAACCCATGCTGCCAACATTCTGTCTTAAAACCTCTTTACCCACCACACTTTTCATGCAAGTTTTGAGGACAGCGATTTTACCAAATGTGTGCTATTGTTTAAGGAGGGTTTGTAATTTTCCAGCAACCTTTTACGTTTTCTCACTTAGGCATTGGCTCTTAAACCAAGACCACATATTTTTAGGCTTTTTTATGGTAATACCCCACTGTTGGTACTAGCTTCAGTATACTTATACTCTAGCACCAAACAACCCCCAAATCTCAGTGACTAATAACAACAAACTTTTCCTTCTCATTTGTGGGGATTATGGGATCATAGGGATTTGCTTTCTAGATCCTATAAGTGAGTAGTTTGCTCCACCACACACTTCTGCCTTTAAGTGCTATCCTTGCCAGGGGCCCAGAGCAACAGGCAACTAAATTTTGGACTGGAACCCCCAGAACCATGAGCCAAAATGAAACTTTTCTTTTTATAAGTTAATTGCCTCAGATATTTTGTTACAATCATGGAAAGCTGACTAACACATCTATAGATGGGAAGAATGGTGTTTCTGTTTCTTAAGGTGGGAATGGGATTATGGGAGATTCACTCAGTTCCCATAGCAATAGGTCGGAGCAGTCTGAAAAATAATTCCCCCCTAGCAGTTCTTCTGTATATTCAGACTCCTGAGTCTGTAAGTGTAATGAGATTATGTCTGAGGATGCTATGGGGATATGTTAAAGTTGTTTGCTCCTTTAGTAATCAACCTGATTTAAATTTCAAAAAGCAAAGATTTACATTTTTTATTTTATAGAAAATAACTGAAGTCTTTCTAAGGAACTGAAAGAGTACAAAAGTCATCCCACCTCTGCTCAAACACCTTCAGTGACAGTGACTTCCTTACTAAATAAGACAGTGCCATCTGTCCCCTTGCTTCCAAATGGAAACATTACTTTGAACATTCTGTAACTTTTTGTTCACATGCTTAATGGAGTTGGCAAGACAAAGTTCCTCCATGTGGATGGCTGTGAAATATGTCTTTGCCACAAGATATTTTACCCAGAAATGAAATACAGCATAATGGCATAAACAGATACTAGACCCAACTTTGTGAGCTATTAGCCTGATCTACTTCTATGAGCTGTGTAATATGCAACAAATTATTTATCTATA